TGCTTAAATGCCTCTCCACTTAAAGACAATGATGGAGATTAACCTGAGGGCAGTGTTTAGCCTGTAGCAGCAATATCCCTTGGGATGATGGAGCAGGAGAAAAAAACGTCGGAGCAAATTTGCCATTTTGATACAAAGCAAAGCCTCTTTTAGATTGGTAATGTGAACAAATTCAGTAAAGAGTTCACTTATACACTAAACAGTGGTTTCCTGCAAGGCCATTTTTACAGACTTTTTTCGGAGTAGAACCGCAATTTAAGGGGAAAATAAGTGCAGTTGTAGAACAATGGCAGAGTTTTGAGAAGCGCGCATAATACGATTGGCAGGAAATTCAATGTAAAGGTTATAGTTAAAACAACATTATTTGGAAAGTACCAAAAATAACTAACACAGCTTCTAGAGATTTCACTGTGTATCCTGTCAGGAAGTGAGTTTTAGTGTCCATCAGGGCATCTCTGCCCTCATCCCTTCACCTCCTGCTGGTTCTGCACCCTTTCCACTGCTCCACTTCAGAGGGCCCTGTGGACAGGACACCAGGATGGATCTACTGAGCCCTTCACTGAGCTCACTCCTGGTGAGCTGGGTGGTTTACAAACCACAGGCAAGGCATCCCAGTTAGCCTGGCACTCTGGTTCCAGCTGGGAGCCAGCAAAGGGAAGGGATGTGCCCAGCCTGATGACACCTGATGAACTGATGAATTGTGGGGTAGTTTGACACCACGCAATACTTTTGCACTTCACACTTCTTCACTGTCTCTGTTCTTGTCTTCACCTCTGCCATTTTGTGCAGACTCTCAGTAGACACGCAACTGAAAATGAGCAGTTTCAGCAGCACTGCTCCCCTCTCTGTGAGGGGAAAAAACAAGCTTGTGTGTAAAAAAATGTGCGTAAGCACATGCCTCAGTCTTGAATATTTTTAAAACTTACATTGCCCCTGAAACACTGATCTGGCCCAAACAACACCTTTAACCAAACCTCCATTACCACACTTTTACCTGCCACTTTAACACTGAACAACAATGCTGACTACAGAGTTCACCCATCTCAGTCACCATTATGGGGACAGGAAGGTAGTAACAAGACACCTCACATGTGTTGCTGATAGTGTGGTTTTGTTTGGCTTTTCACGTTGCAAATGGCACAATTCCTAACAATATTGGTGTAAAGGAGGTAAAAACTGCCAAATTCTCAGTAGCACAATGTCTTGGGCAATCAAGTCCAAAAACTGTGCTGACAGCAAGCGTATTTATCCGTGCCAAATGGGTTCTGGACTTAATACCATTATTTATGCCACAGAGTTGTTGCTCTAGTACCTTGTAAACTGTGTTTCCAATGAAAATATGTTGAGGCAGTTTGTGTCTCCACACACTGGGATTTGGCTGTCTGCTATCTGATCCATCGGACCATTCCTTCTCCCTTCACAATTTTGGAAAAGTCAATCAATTCCAGTTGCCCTTGAGAAAGAGGTATATCCCTTACTACTGTTAAGCAAGGATGGCTGAATAGAAGAGTTCTGGCTCTCCATTGGGAGCCTCATTGGGCAAGTCTTCAATGTGACATCCGTTCTTACTAGATAGCAAAAAATCTGCATAAGCATCTATCATAGAGACATGGATCCATAAAAAACCAGTCTCCAGTGGCTGACCAGATAAATCCTTGTTTCCAACTGCTGCCACCCCTCATCTTCTATAAGAACTAACTGCATTGTAAGTTTTCCTCTTCTGCTATTTCAGGTACCACAGTGCACAACCAACCTAATCTGATTCTTATACACTAAAAAAAAATCAGCTGAGCAATAAAAGTGGGTGCTTTGTGCTCTTCCTTTCCCAAAGTTATCTCTGGTCTTAAGGAAGCTGCAGATTTCTCTAGTCTGAAGCATAAACAGGAAAATTTATGGTTAACATGAATGCTCCTTTGCAGCTACAACACTGGTGACACCAAGAACTTACTCACAGAGGACTTCATGGTTTCAGTTTAGGACTTTGTGCCAGAATAAGCTGCATTCATTTTAAGAGTTCCTGGGAAAGGTGGGCTGTGGCCTGATGATCTATGCCATTACTGCTCCACCCTGGTAGAGCCTCCAAGGCCCAACATACACAGGCAGTGATTACCAGAGCAGGGGAGTACGCAGCCCATCCTTTCCCCTGCTCCTCTTCAACCGAGGCTGACTGGTTCTGATTCCCTAGTTGTCTTCCCAAAGACTGGCCACGACAAGGGTCTTCAGATAACTAGCAAGAGAATCCAGATGACATCTCTCAGACTCTCAGTCCTTGTTGTATGTGGTGAAGAAAAAGGTGTTGTGCTCCAATACCGCTGGCTAAGTGAGGGCTTGGTCTGGATTAACCGCAATGCTTCCCCAGAAATTGCCATGAGGATCCACTATTGCAACCTCCTGCAAAATGGCTCTGCCCACGTGTTCAAACTGCTGTTTTCCTCCAACGCTATTTCTTTTTGAGGTCTGATATCTTCTGAGATTCAGTCTCTGGGCCGGGTTTCTTGTGGCTAAAAGCTCATCCTCCTCCCATACCCTTTTTCCACTACCTGAATGTAAGATCCCTTTGTTGTTAAAGGAGGTTCCATCCTCCACGTTTACAGAGTCCTCAAAAAGAAACTGCCTGGAAACTTGAGATTAGCCTCCTGCAACTTCTGGTCAGCCAAACCTTCTTGCCAGATCTGAGCTTGGGCCTTGAACAGCCCTGGGAGTGAAAGATGAGGAGCACAGAGTGTGGTGACCACTGTATATGTAAGAGGAGATTCTCATCATCTGGCCCCACACCAGCGGCCATCATCATGCAGCCCAGACCAAACAGGAAATGTGATATGCTGCACTTCAGAGAATCGTATTCATGTATGGAAAAAAGAAAGGGGTGTGGGGACACGTGCAGGTCCATATCTATCCTCAAATGAGGTAGCTATCAGACTGTGGATTTGCATTTGTGTGTCTGTCTCAGCTTTGGATGTGAAGGCAAAGTAAGGGGTTGTCTTTCTGCAAAGGTGAGGGCACATGAAGCTTTGGAAGGTGGAAAGTATTTTTTGCATCCTTGTCTGGTCTATTGAACGGACAAGCCATGCCGAACAGGCACTGCAGCTACTGCAGGGCAGTGTTGCCTATCTGGACTAGCTGCAAGTCTCAGGTGGGAGGGGTTGATTCTTCCTTCTCTGGAGAGAGTGGGGTGCTCGGCTGGGTAGGGAGGCTGTGGGATGGGTGTTCTTGTGGTGTCACACCATCTGCAAGTGTGAGGGTGTGTTTCAATCTTTGTCAGCAGTGCCCTCATTCCACTCCTGCTCTGACCCAGGATGGATCCTCTGAAACTGGGACACTGATGTGGAATCTGGTTTCATTCTGTATTGCTCAGGTCAACAACTCAGATTATTTTTCACAAAGTGGTCTGTGGTATTTCTACTCTATACAGACTCCTGTCCCCAGTTTCAAAGCAATCTGTAAACTTGTGCAGACCCTGAAAGCAATATGAGTGATCAGTTTGGGTGTCTGAAAGAGGAAGCTATGGGTCACTTGCCAGTGTCTCAAGAGGATAAGTCCTTTCCACTCACTCTTTTGCCTCACAGCAATGGTTAGAAACTGGTCCCAGTATATCTGAGCACTGCAACCTAACACCTGACCCCTCCACCCTTGTTTCTGCACCTATTGCTTTACCAGCAGGAAGTAGGACGTGGTTTGGGGCTTTTTATTCTTGGCCTCACTAGCCTTTTCGATACTTCAGGGCCTTGTCTCAGTCTGACAAGGCAAGCAAGCAGCAGCTTCCTGTGCAAAGGTGAGAGGGAGAAGACAGAGAGAGACCATGCACATATGAGAGGAAGAGCTCTGGAGTAGAACTGCTGGGCTGGAGGCACCTCTCCTCTTACGGACATACACTGAGCTCGGATATCTGCCTTCATCTCTCTCCCTTTTTGCACTCACCATTCCTGTTGACATTCAACATCTGATTCCATCCAACATCACGACCCCAGCGACTTCCTTCATCTGGACCACTTGGTGACTAGAACTGGAAGGTAAAGGGGGCAATGCCAGCTCTCTCCCACATGGGGGTGGCTGATCTGAAAAGCATCTTAGAAGGAGTTTCAGTCTGACAAACTGAATCTTGCCGTTGGGGAGGGCTGAACACGTATTTATCTCCCTGTCTGTCCGCAATCTTCTCAAATCATACCCCACATCTCACAACCACACCACCAGCTTTCTCTCTCTTTCTCTTCACTTTGTCTGCTCATGTATCATCATCATGTTTTTCTTCCTCTGAACCTAATCTTTTATCGCAACGGGAACTGGTATTTATAAACCCTCTCTTCCCGCTCCTCTGGCAGTCCCAGCAAGGTCTAGTGGGACTCCAGCTTGTTTTGCTCAGGTCTGCCTGGGTTCCAGGGTTGGTGTGAGGTGAGGGTAGTTCCTTCTCCTGCGGGCAGAGGCAGATCTCAAGAGACAGGTGTCCAGGTGGATGGGGAGAGAGAGAGAGAGAGAAGTCCGTACCAGTCTGTCTAATACGGAGCATGACTGTACAGGCTTTGTATGACAGTGAGGCTCCCTGGGTGCCAGGGGTGCATGAGGGGTGCTGCAGAGTTTCCTTATTACAAAGCCCAAATTTTCTGATATGCCTGAAAGCACGACTCCTTCCAAGGCAAAGCAAGGTCTACTCAGATGGTATGTAGTTTGTGTATGACTTTGTAATATTTTTTGATATGGTAAAGCCTTGAATTTCTAGAACCTGGAAAACTCTTTCTTCTTCCTGATTTCCCCCCTGGTCCAAACATGCTGTTCAAAATCTGCCTTCTAAGCCATGGGCTCTGCAACTAACTTTTATCTGTTACAGAGACCCCTCTTACTCATCAAGCACCTAGTTATTTCAGCCTTAGGGCTTACCAAAAAAAGAAGCTCTTCAAAGCACAATACATGCGCAACCAAGGCAGCACTCTCTACCTGAGTCAGCAAGCAGCCTGAAACAACACACATGGACTGCTGTGCACTCACTCACGCGTTTTCAGAAGGCGCGATTCCTGCAAACAGCCTATCTGTGCTGCCCTGTGAACAGTTTCACTGCTGAGAAAAGCACCCAAGGCTGGAAAACAGTGAGGTGCTGAGGGAAGAGCACAGACTCCAGAGTGGAAGGGATATAGGTTTCTGAGCCTAGAAGATTGTCCTTTGAGCCCTGCCCCAGGACAGTGGATGCCTCCTGTGAGATGACTTCTTGACATCTTCCTTACTTATGCTGTTGAGCTATGTTGTGGGGGTGTCTTCTCTCTTTCAGTGTGTCACCAGTACAGATGAAGCCCTCATTGCTGCTTCTGTCTCACCTCTGCCTGTTCAGCCTCACGCATCCCTTGTGGGCATCAGACTCAGCACAAGGTAAGAAGCAATTCCTTTGACCTGTGCCGGCTGGGTGGGCAGGGAGGGGAGTCAGCCAAAGGCATGTGTGTGCCATGGTATGTTGCTGTGCAATGTTCTTGTTGTAACATACAGCCAGAGGAGGCTGCAAGAGTCACAGGTCTCTTATGAGCACATCAGCCTCCAAGGACACAGAGAAGTGAGTGGCTCTGCCTTTCTTTTTTGTTGGAGTTATCCAGCAGAGGAGTCTGTAGTTTGGGATGGGGCAGAATTGTTCAGGGTGATGGCTAACTAACTAATGCCAAGCTAACTGAGCCACATTGCTGTCCATCACTTCTCTGCTGGCAGGTGCCTCCAGCCTAACTTGTTGGTATGACTCACGGGCGGCTCTCTTCTGCGACTGGGACCCAGGCAGGGACCTGGTTGAAGCATCGTGTCAGCTGGAGATTTTATCAAATCAAGGTTTTTGTGACAGGTAGGTGATTGGAGAGGTTGAGGAAAGCCAGTGCCACTTAACAAAAATGTAGGCTACCCCGTCCCAAGTCAGGTGTAGTGGAGTCACAGAGCTGAGGTGCTTTGTCTTGTACTCTGTCTCTAACCCATGTGGGCTAAGATGCTGGCAGCCACTGCTTAATGTTTGCCATCTGACAGTCACAAACTGTCTTGCACGACCCATCTTCCAGCTCCATGGTTCTATCCATGTTTCATTTAAAAAAAAAATCCCTCTTTCTTGTCTTGTTAGCCACCCTCTGGACTGAAAGACATTTTCAATGGAAAAGGAGGATGTATAGACATGAGGGTGGAGAAGGGTGGATTTGAAGTTATGCAGAGGCCATTTGCCCATTGCCAGAAATAACTGCAATGTTTCACCCTGAGTAAGAACAAATGAAGAAAAATACTATCCCCCTTCCCTTCCCTGGCCCTTTTATCTCTCTCAGTTCATGATGTTTTCCTCTCCCATATGCCTCCCAGCAGAGGGGAGGTGTGTGGCCAGTGCCGTAGTGGAGGCTGGCTGAGTCTGTGTCATTTCCTAATAAGACATCTCTAGTCAAGAGGTTTACCAACCAACCCCAGGACTTCCCTGGGTGCCTGTCATCAGGAGAGGCTCAGTGTGATTCTGGCAGTGGGTGGGTTACTTGTGACTGTCATAGAGACACCTCCAATGGGGTTAGATGGGCAAGTATATCCTGTGGCCTGGTGCATGGACCTAGAAAGCTAAAACATTTATGTTGTTCCATGGGTGTGAATCACAGAGGCTGGGGCTGGAACTTGGGCTGGATTTGTCACTATGCCATCCTTGACCGGGGCCCTAGGACAACACCTCTCCCCACTCTCAGCAAGTTTCAGGTCTGATCTGACCTTACAGCTGGATCAGGGACCTCAGTCAGATACCCCTTCAGCTGCAGCCCTACAGATGCTCTCCCATCCTGTTCCCACCCCCACCCCCCCCCCGTGCCATAGCTCAGCTTAGGCTGTCCAGCTGCTTGTCAGAGCAGAAGAGAGGTCATGGTGTGGTGCTGCCATGTGTGATGTACAGTCCTCACTGACTGGGATGTGACTTGGTTCAGAAGGTACATGTTACTCAGTATCTGAGATCCTACAGGAGTTTCAGTGGTTTGAAGGAGACCTGTAAATCCTAGAGGGGCTGGAAAAGGTACCTGTCTTCCAGGGCTGCAGGGTGCGGTTGTGGGCAGCTCTGCATGCCCTCTGATATCAACAGGATGCAGAGAGGGTAGGAAGAGAGTTTTGTAAAGTCTTTGAAACTGGAAATCTACTGTTATCTTTGGCCTGAAATAACTGGGATGCACTGACTCTCCATGTGCCAGCACATAAAATTTGTTTGAGTGGTGCAGTGGGGAGAGCAAGTAGGATTAAATCTTTGCTGCAACCTGTTGAGCAAATACATGAGGATGCAAAATGCTTTGAGAGCCCTTTAGTGTTACATAATGTTTGACTAAATACAAAACAACCTCCCTAGCTCATTGTTGTTCTCTACCTTGAGTCTCATGTCATCTCCCTTACCCGGAAAAAACAAGAAGGACTGTGAATTACTCAAGGCAGAACACAAGAGAGGACTGAGGAGATGCATCAAGACCTTCAGCCAAGACAATAATGTGAGTAATTCATCTGGGATGGCCTAGCTAATGACAAGGTGGAAAAGATTTTTATGTGTATTTTGGGTGTATGAGGATTGTGACATTCAGGAGCAGTATAAAAAGCCCACACCTAATCCCTGGAGTTGGGCTTGGTGCTGTGTGTTGTTGACATGCATTGCTCCTGTGGGTTCCACCGCAAGAGGGATTGGCTTCATTGTTAGCTGGGCCGTGCTGTCCTGACTATGCAGAAAAGGTGCAGGACAGACAGATCATATGCAGTATCCCATGTCTCAATTTGCTGGGTTTGGCCCTAACCCATTCCTCTGAGGAGGGAGGACATCACCACCAGCTCTGAAGTCCTCTCTTGATCTCATTTTCCTTGAAGAAGTCAATATCATTTTCCAGATTATTAACTACTGTGAAGTCTGGTTAGATGTGTCAACTGCAAGATGCAACAGCAACACATCACTAGAGCTAATGGTGATGCCAACCTCCTAAGTCTTATTTTTTATTTGGATCAATCTTATTTTAGACTCATTATGTACTTCCTTCAGTCATACCCAGTTACTGCAGTCCCTGTGATTTCAGAAAATGCCCACCCAAATATGAGCTAATTCTCCTTATTGTTAAAGCCACAACCAGTTCTAACGATAGATAAGCTTTCTTACATTTGCATATCATGCGCAAAGACAAATTGCAGGGTTGGTAAATAGTTCCAAAATCTTTTCTTTCTAATCAAGCTAATTTCCCTATTGCTTATTCAATAGTGTATGATGCACGTGGTCCTTCAGTATCATTGCATTTCAAGTGTAACATTTAATGCTAAAGTGGTTTCAATCTTACCAGCGAACATAAAATGATTTAGTAAAAATAATTTTTCTCAATAAATGTCACTCATAGAAAGTAACTTTTTTTACTGCTTAGTCAGCACATATAGGAATCTTAGCAAACTAGCATATCACATTAGTTTGTGCCCTTCTTGCAGTTACACAAAAAAAATCCAACCACATATAGTATAAATCTTGCATAAAGTATAAATCTTTGGTTCCTCGTTCACCACTGAGATTTATGCCTTTCAGCCACAAATATCTTCCGTATTTATTGTCTAATATTCCTAAATATCTTATACACAGGCAATGCTTTGAAATTTGAATGCATATTCATGAGGCTTCATTGTCACTAGTGGTTAATTTTCCTTGCAGACTCAATGCTTCACCAGGTCAGACCGTCTTGCCATGTCTGTCCATTGCCAGATTGGAGAGAATAAGTCTATACCTGCGAGAATAGAAAATTTCAGTCCCCTTGCAAATAGTGAGTACTCATCTGTCTTCCAGTCTCTGAAACTTCCCCATGAAAGGATGGTTAATTTTTCTTCCCCATCCACCCCTATGCAATACCCATACCTGATTTTAGGTTTCTGTCTTTTGCTTGTCCCCTGCTATGAGTACAGGTGGAACACATTGACTTCTGCCACTTGCACCTTTATCATGCAGATTCATGCCAATCCCATCCTGTCCTGTCCTGTGTCTGGGACACTGTTAAATGAGAGTGCTTTGCCCTAGAAGTTCTGCTTCAAACAGGCAATGGCAGCTCAGCTCCCCTTCCAAAAAATGTTTTGCAAGGAGTCTTGCAGCACTTCCTTTGCCCTCCTACTAGGTGTGTGCTTCCACCCTCCTTTAAGCCAGCTTTGGCACGTACCAGTCTTTGCTGAAAGGATTCCCCTTACTAATCCAAAAGCAAAACATCTGCTTGGGACATTTTTGTGCTGGATATGTGAGTTTACCTGTCTCAAGAAGATGTCCAATAGAGCTGCTGCGAGACGAGGCATAAGAAGGCACGGCTGGAGTCAAGGATCAGGAAGAATCAGCCTAGACAGTCCATGTAACTCCATCCCTGTGGCTGTAGCTCTCTGAAAGAGCATCTGGGAAGCAACTGTCTCCCCAGCCATGTTCTGTTCCTATCCATATAGTTGCCATGCAGATCACCCATATAAGACAGGATGCTTGGCCCCATGGATTGATTGCACTGACTGCAGGGGCCACTCTCACAGGCTCACAGGAGGAGCTGCCTTTAACATAGCCCAGAGGCAATAGGCCTTTTGCAATTAGTGACAGTGGGGGAAAAGGAGGAACAGAGAGGGGGAATTCATGAACTCTCTCATGTGGCTGTAGCTTGCTAGAGTCTGTGAGCACAGCCAAGACACCAGCCTTGCTGCCATGGGGCTTGGCGTGCAGTCCTGCTATGGACAGAGTGGAGATATCAGCCCTGCTCCTTCTCTCTTTCCAGTAAAGCTGAGGCCTCCAGGAAATCTTCATCTGGTTAACATAACTGAAAACACCTCCAACTTAACATGGAGCCTGAATATTTCCTCTCACTATTTGAATGGGGAGCGGGAATACCAAGTGCGGTACCGAAACATGAGTCAGTCCTGGGAGGTGAGTACAGAGTGGGATACTGGGACCTGTTACCATACTAATCCTGGTCTTCTTTATATCACCCAAGACTTGCTCCTGGGCCTCTCTTCAGGATGAAACCAGTTTTAGTGAAGCTGGAGAGTGGATGACAACCCCCACCCTTTTATCTCTGTCACCTGCTGTCAGTGTTTGGTGATGACAAGGAGGCAGATGGGGATCCCATTTTACTCAGTGCTGTCGCAAAGAAATTCAGACAGTTCCAGGACAGACCTGAAAGGGATGAAAAAAAACAAAGTGAAGAAAAATTTTCCTCCAGGGTGAAAAAGCAGTGCACAAGGTGTAGCAATTTGAGACAGGTCTTCTCTGAGGGCTTTGGAAAAGATGACTACATGAGGCTGTAAACCAGGGTGTTGATGATGTTCTAAATTTGCCCTACTCCCAGGAGGCCATGAACTTGCCCATTGAACATGACCAGATGTGGGCAAATTTTGAGAGACTCTCACCCAACTCGAAATATGAGGCAGCTGTCCGTGCAAGGCCAAGTGCCAGAAGCACCTACAAAGGCGTGTGGAGTGACTGGAGCAAGCCGATACTGTGGAGGACACATGCTGACCATAAGGATCAGTCAGGTAGTCTAACTTGGAGGGGAAAATGGGGACTCAGGGAAAAGAAGGTAGAAGGGCCAAAGCAGGCTGGGAAGCTGAAGGAAAATGGGTAGGGAGTACTGTGTTGGCCAAAGAGCAATAGAAAGGTTGGAAACAACCTGTCCCTCATAATCAGTTAGGTCAGACCAGTTCAGCAGTGTTTAAAGGCAAAGACCCCCTGACTCCAACAAAGCCCCTCTGACGTCCAGAAGCCAGACAAAATTCACAAGATGTAAATCAGGGACTGCTTCTCCAGAGCAGTAGGGCCATATGTCTGACCTGCAGAAGCAGTGGCCAGGACTGGCATTTTCCCAGATGCTAACATTACCTAGGAATATACATCCAGCTTCCTAAAATGGCTCGGTTCACTGGAGGTACTAATCAGTAAAATGCAGTGAAATACAGTGAAACAGAGCTCTCAGCTCCTGAACTGAATGACACCTGAGCCTAAGAAGCAGAGTCTCATGGAGAATGGAAGAGACAGACTTACATGCATGTTAAGTCCCTCTCAAAAAGGTCTGCTGAGACTTGCATCAGTCACTGTATGAACCTCCAGCCTTGAAAAATAGTGCCCTTTGATGAGTCACTGGCTGTGGTCTCTGTCATTTTTTTTCCGAATTGAGCAGATAGATGTTATTCCTTCTCATGTCGCCCCCACTCTGCCCCTGCTTAAGCCCTCCCTGTTGTGCCTGGTGCTGATATAAACAGAGGAGCTATGTTTAGAAAGGGCACTGTGTTGCTGTGGCAATCAAATTTTGACAGTGTGTGATGTCAGTGAATAGGATACAGCCGCAACCAGTTGTCATAGCAACCAAGACCCAAAGATAACCAGGATACCCGAGGCAGAGGAGTCAAAGTGATCTGAGTAGCATCTCAAGGACAAGGAAAGAAAGAATGTACTAAAAACGTCTCCTCCTTCTTTTATTTTTCTCTATTCCCTAAAAACTACTCCAGAGATGCTCTGCATGCCCAGACCAAGGTACATGAGGGATGGAAATGAGGGGCAGGTGGGAGAAACAGGCACCAGAATAGCAAGCCCAAACAAAGGTGGACTGGGGAGATATGTTTGAAAGTGACAGATTAAGAAAAGTTTGAGATGATGCCAAACAAATTTGAGGAGTGCTGGCAGCCCTGGTACTGTGGGAACTCGGTCTCTTTCTCCTAACGCTACAATCCAAGTACTAAAATATGGTGTAAAGCTGTAACCTTCCTAGTCTCCTAAAGCTTTGCTACAGCTCTCTAAAGAAAGAAGCCAACCCCTTGATCCCTAACCATCCTTGTCCTTCTGCCTTCTCAGAGACCTGTGAACCCTATGACTCTGTCTCCCCCCCGACTCATAATGCTGTTTCAAGTCTCCAATCCCACTTTAGCTGTTTTGAGGAGAACCTGCTTTCCTTTGCAAGGAAATAGACAGGTTGATGGACACTTCAAACAGCAGTGATACCTTATGTATGGCAAACCCTAGTAGTGGCGCTGTTATGAACAGGGGGTTCAAGCTCTTCAGCTTGAAGTTATCTGTTAAGCAATGCTTAGATTCTGAAACCCATATCAGCTCAAAGGCATCCTACACAACATGTCAGAACTCAAGTATCTGACCTGTATATTATAATTCTATATACTGTAATCGTATATAAAATTATAACAAAGGCTCACTTTGATCACCTTGAACAACCATGAAAAGGCTGCAGGTTCTACCTTCAGAATCCTGGTTAAATTTTCACAGCGATTTCTTTGTTCTTTCTCATCTTGCAGAAACATCCTGGCCAGCCCTGCAAGCTCTTATAGTGAGCACTTTCCTCTTCATCATCATTGGGACTGCCTTCCTTACTAACTCACGGAGCCTGAAATGGTAAATGAGAATCAAGTTTTCATCTCCATTCCTCTCCTGTATCTTGTATGTATTCTCAAAATCTGGATTATTTTTCACTTGGTAAGAAGTCAAGGTAGAGATGACTTTGAAGTATGGTTTTGAGGCTAACATTTGCCTGGGGAGACATATCACCACCCAAGATGATGTGGTTTCACCACCATCATTGTATTGTGCCACACTGCTGTGACCTGGTGCCACGTCCTGGCTAAATTTGAAACAGCTACCTCAGCACATTTGCTGCCCAGGGCTTAGAGTGGTGTTTCCTGGCAGAGATGCATCAAAATTGCCTCTTCAAAAGCGGGTCACTGGGTTGAGCACTCTCTCAGTAGTGAGGACCAAGCAAGCCTAGGTACCACTACCTTCGCATTTAAATGGTCCAGCAAGAGCTCAGGCAGGACATGGTGACATTTGGTCTGCAGGCAAAACTCCTGAGTGAGGAGTACAATTCTTCTTCTCCCTGGTCTGTGCAGTCCTCACACGCTGATAAACCTCTATATGATGCTTTAAAGATCTCTTTGCCAGCATTTTTACCCAGGCATTGCTTTTATTCAGGATGGAAAGTGTCTCACGAGGTTAACCCATGCAATAATAGGAACAGTGACCTGTCAGCATGATGCGGTTAGAAATAGCTACAGGTTTTCCCATCTTGGATCAGGGGTGAAGAAGCAGGGTGCTGATGTTCGTGACAGGGGGCAGGGAGAAATATTTCCAGGGATGAAGCAGCAGGGGCTGGATGGTTTCTCTGTAAGGAAAGAGAGAACCATGTTGAAGGAAGATGGATACTGAGAAAGTCACTGGTCACTGTTTTACCCTGATCATAACACAAAGTTGAGAAAGTGCTAGTTGTACAGCACAGAGAGAGTTAAAAAGGCCTCCTTAGCCTAGGGGAATTGAATGGAGAATAATGCTGAGGTAAGATGCAAGAAAAGATTAGACATGCATGAATAAAAATAGCATCTGCAATGATGTAAGGTAGTTTATATGCAAGAACTAGCAACTTCTAATGCTTCAGAGAGTACACTGATTGCCTCCAGAGGTCAGGAGGGTCTTTCCTAAGAGCAAAGCTTCAGGAAAGAGGTAACAGGATCAGCCTACCTCTCTGAGGAATATAAGATCAGATTAGATCACTTCATGCTGCCCCAGGATGACAACATGCTGATTCCAGTAAAGCAGAGGCCTCTGTACTGATGCAAGGCATACTCACTCAGATGGCTTGCACAGCCAGTGTGCTCCAGCTATACCATTGCAGCATCTTGCTAAGAGGGCAGAGAGCTGTGGCAGAGCTTTGCCGGTGATGGTCCTGCTCAGGCCAGGTGGTCCTCCAAGTCATTGTGGTGGCAGCAAAGCAAAGAAGGGGTAGCTCACAACAGCTGGAGCTTGGAAACAAGGGAACCCTGCTCAGCTTGTCATCAGGACAGGGGCTTAAGGGGGCAGGTGGAGAGGTTAAAGCGACCAGCCAAGGCATGGGAGAAACCAGTGAAGCGGTGGTTGCCCTTCCCTAAAGATGCTGAGAGCAATGTATTTTCCAATGCCAGCTTTAACTGTCTCATCTCTATACCTCTCATTCCTCAGCTACTGCATGTCAGACCACTCGAAAGCAAGGACAGCATTCAGGCTTGTTCCTATTTTACCTCTCCTCCATACTGGACTATTACCTGTGAGCTGCAATGCTCTCTCCTACCCCTCCACAGTGACAGAGAGATCAGGGTCAGGCCCTGCTTCATTTGTTCTTCTCCTTCTCTTTTGTCAAGGTTTAAAAAGATCCTGAAGATTCACATCCCAGATCCTGAGAAGTTCTTTCCCCCACTTGTTTCACTTCACGGAGGTGACATTCAGGTATTGGACTGGGGATGGAACCATGTGGTTCCAGGAGGGAGAAATGAGGGGAAGGAGTGTCCAGCTGCACATGCCCAGGACAGATAGCCTGTCAGACCTACACGTGCACACACGACATCTGTGCCTGTAGCACCAGCTGCTGGGTTCTCTGCTTGACTTCTATTTTCTGACCTTCTAAACCTGACACTCAGCTGAGGCATCTCTAATTACAGAACTGAGAAATGCCAAACCACGCAAATCTCGGCACCCTGCTTCCGTAATGGGCAGTCTGAGAGAAAACAAGGGACCTGCAGGAGGGAGATTGGCCTCTCAAGATCCCCTTCCACCCCATTTTGGTGTCTCCCTGCTTGCCTTAGGCTACCCAGCTCTTCCCCAGATTTCCTGCTGCGATCCCCTCCTCCTAGCTGTGAGCCTTTCCTCTGTTCCTAATGTGAATTGCCATCCCACTGGGTGGCACTTAGCTAATTTCTGCGTTCTTTTCTCTTTCCCTTTTTCCTCCGCTCCGCTTTTTCCTTTCCCCTAGTCTCACTGTGAGTATGGGCAGCTGCAAGGAGACAATTACCATTCTGTGCAGTATTAAAGGGAGTGTCAGATGCAAGACGTGGGAGGTGATCCCAAGGGGCATTTTGCTTTAAGAAAGATGGAAACAAACTGCAGAGGGTCCAGAGACAGCAAAGCTCTGAAAAAGCCTAAGTGCAAAAAGCTTTAGAAAGCTTAAACTACAGGGGAAGAGTGCAGAGCAGGGGAACAGCGGTGTGCAGCAGGCACTGAGGACACTTTATCAGTGCAGAAAGAACTTGAAAAATTGCCTTTATGAGCCATAAAGGCAATGAAGCTGGATGTCATCAAAACCAGTTTATTTTTAAGGATAATGATGCACTGCAGGATGTTGACCAGATGAATGTGGAAATTAGACACAAGGGGCTTGGAAGAGCACTTTAGATGAGAAATCTGCATATGGCCATGTAGATGTATTAGGAATAGATTGCATGAGGTGCACCTCAGAACTGTTTTTCATGTTTCCAACTTCACTTCATCTTACGGTCTTCTAAGGCTTTTTTCCTTCTTTGTTTTTTCCTTCCTTTCAGTTTAATTCTCCGTCTTCCATTCCCTGCTCCAGAAATTTCAAAACATAGGCTTATAAGATCCACTCTTGATTTCAAAGGGACAGAAAGACATAGTCTCTCTGAAAATCCTACAGATGAGACATCATGAACGTTAAATTTCCTCCTGGTAACTGGTGCTTGGACAGAGAACAGATCACTTAATTGTTGTGGTCACTCAGGAAAAGAAACGTTTTGTTCCTCACTGAGTACTATACTTTGGGTGTCACAGTCTCTCTCTCACTCTCTCTCTCCCGTGTTTCTTTCCCATTAGAAATGGCTCTCCTCCCCATTCTCCACATCTTCCTACTGTGTGAACAGCACAATCCCAGAGATCTCTGTGCTCGAAGTAATGCAGAAGAGTGACCAGGAATCCCGGTTTCTACTTTCCAAGGGATCCCTGACTCCTGATCCTCCCTCAGAAACCAGTGTGCACTCTGTATCCAGCTGCTTCACCAACCAAGGTTACTTCTTTTTCCACCTTCCCAACTCCTTTGAGATCGAGCCCTGTCAGGTCTACTTCACCTACGAGCCTTTCACTCAGGAGGGCAGTGGCAGCAAGGATGGCAAGTCCCACCATGCTCTCCCCTCTCCAGACCTCTGCACACTGGCAGAGGACATGACCATGTTGCCCCGCAACTTCTTTCATTGTATCAAGGCAACCCAGGGCTTCCAAAACAGCTCCATCATGAGAGAGACAGAAGGTGAAGCCCAGCAGGCCATGGCTATTTCTGGGTCAAGTGAAGGCACCTCACCAACACCAGCTCTGAAACAGGATGAGAAAGTGATGGACAAAGCAGTTTCACAACCTGATGAGGCCCTGTGCCAGCAGCTGAACACTGACTTTCCCAATCCACTGGACCTGCATGACAGCAATACTATCAATGCAACAGAGCGGAGTGGGAAGGCAGACCCTCCAGCTGACCCTTGTACACCAGCAGCAAATGCTACCTCTTCTCTCTCCCAGCTTCCACCTCTAAGGCAAAGACAGGATGAGGATCCATGCAAAACAGCCTTCTCCAGCCAGGTCCCAAACACTGATTCCTACCTTTCTCTGAAGGACCTCCAAAGCCAGTATAGCCATTGCTCGATCTAGAATTGGTCTGGAGGAAACCCACAAATGGTAAAAGCCACCTCTTCAGGGAAGGCTAGATTGACAGTTTTTCTATTCAGGACATGAATGTGGCTTCAGTAGCAAACCTATTGGGACTGCTCATCAATGAGGCTGGAGAACATAGGCCAACAAAGACTCATCTTCATAGGTGGACCTAGTTTTCTGTTATTATTGGCTCTGATGGTATGGAAAATGCTTCTCACAATGCTCAAGGAACATCCCGAACCACACCACCTTGCTTTTCCCTTCCCAGCTCCCAGTAGGAGGCTGTGCCAGCATTTCCATGCTCTGCAACTTGGTGTAAAATAGAACTCAGCTTTGAGGCTGAGCAGGCATATGGTCTATTTGCCTTATTCTGGCCTGAAAACCTCTAATGGGAGGGAGAAATGCCTGAAGAGGTGGAAATGAGGTTTTGTACAGGGGACAATATCACTGCCAGTCAGTGCTGGGGCTGATGATGAAATGGATGAAGACATCTCCTCCTGACTGACCAAGGGTGTGATTTTTTCCTACGGTGTCCCCACTTCAGGTTTTAATCAGAGATGACATTCTAAATTAATCAGTCCAGCTTTAGACTAGAGTCCCCAAGGTCAGCTCAGAGCTACATCTGTGTCAGCAGTGCAGTGTAAAAAAGAAATCCCCATTATTGGGTTAAAAATACCGGGGAAATCCCCTCCCTCTCTTTCTTTCCTCCAGCTCTGATAATGGCAGTAGAAAGAACTCACACAATTTCCCATTCTTGCTACAATATTTTTCATGAAATCGAAAGCCTCTCTGCCCTTCTGGCAAACTACAGTTACTTGACTACCTTAAGCTGATTGCAGAATAGTTCATCCCACATCCTGTATTAGTGGAAAACATCACAACTGTGCTGCCCATTCCTTCCATTGCTCAAGAGAAACCATTACCTAATTAGTAGCAAAGATGCAATGAATGAGACCAGAAAACTAACCCGCAAATCAGCACCTTTACTGAAAAGAAAACTTCAGTCCACTCATAAAGAATGGAGATAGCACAGACTTTGTTTTTCTTTTTCCTCTACATGCACTTATCTGGGTTAAGAAAAAGCAACACACCACAGAGGAAAGGTGGCAAGCAAAGGAAGACAAGTTGTTCTGGTTACATCGATCCTTGTGTTCGACATCTGTACCATCTGTCCACTTTCTTGCCATATGTCTGGACTTTTCAGCAGTGGGAGAATACCACCCTATGCTAAGAGTTCTTAGACTTCCTCTAAGAGTTTTTCTAAGAGTATTTATACCACAAAATTCAAGGATATTGAACTTGTTAGTACTTCTGTCACACCTGTGAGTGTTAACAAAACTAATTCTTTCCTATCTCTGTCTGAACAAGCGTCGAGCTTCCACTTTGTCCTGGTCCTACACTGTTATCTGACCTTGCATTATGCATCATGAATGTAATTAGGAGTCCCAGCTATAGGGTCACCCACTGGCTTGGATTTCCCCTCAAAAGAGCTGCTCAAAGAAGTTGAGTCTGCCTGTAGCTGAGAGGGCTGTGGGAACTGTACCTCTCCTCTCATCAGCTTCTTCACTATACCTGTCTCAACACGTGGACTACTCTGTTGTCTCCAGGAGACAACAGGTGAAGAAGACCCCTCGGCTTCCCAGATAAGGAAGCGCAAGGCTTTCACAGCTGTTTCATGTACTTTGAGAATCTTCCAAGATGAACTTCAAAAAGAGACACTGAATCCCTTGCCCCTGATGAGTAATTTGCTATCTTACATGGGCCAGGGATCCTAGTTGCACTGGTGGGTATCTTGTCCCCATGTAGATCTTCATAAGCTTTTCAATTTTCCTTCATAGAATCATAGAATCATTAAGCTTGGAAAAGATCTCCAAGATCATCAAGTCCAACCTTTGACTGAGTACTACCATTCTCACTAAACCATCGCAAAGTGCCATGTCTACTTGTTTTCTGAACACTTGCAAAGATTGTAACTCCAGCACTTTCCTAGGGAGTTTATTCCAATGTTTAACAGTGAAGAAATTTTTCCTGATACCCAAACTGAACTCCTCCTGGTGCAACTAGAGGCCATTTCATCTTGACCTATCATTTGTTACCTGGGAGAAGAGACTGACCTCCACATTGCCACAACTGCCTTCAGGTAGCTGTAGAGAGCAATAAGGTCTCCCTTGAGTCTTCTTTTCTCCAGGTTGAACAACCCCATCTCCCTCAGCTGTTCCTCATAAGACTTGTGCTCCAGGTCCTTCACTAACCTTGCCCTTCTCTGGACATGCCCCAGCACCTCAATGTTTTTCTTGTAGTGAGGGGCCCAGAATTGGACACAGCACTTGAGATGCAGCTTCACCAGTGCCAAGTACAGAGGGATAATCCCTTCACTAGTCCTGCTGGCCACACTATTTCCAGTACAGGCCAGGATGCCGTTGGCCTTCTTGGCCACCTGGGCACACTGCTGGCTCATGTTCAGCCAGCTGTCAACCAACACCCCCAGATCCTTTTCCTGCTGCATAGTTTTCCAACCATTCTTCCCCAAGCCCGTAACACTGCGCGGGGTTGTTGTCACCCAAGTGCAGGATCTGGCACTTCATCTTGTTGAACCTCTACAATTGACCTCAGCCCATCAAGACAACCTGTCCAAATCCCTCTGTAGAGCCATACTACCGTTCAGCAGATCAACACTCCCATCCAGCTTGGTGTCATCTGCAAACTGACTGAGGGAGCCCTCAATATCCTCATCCAGGTCATTGATAGATGTTAAACAGGACTGGCCCCAACACTGAGCCCTGGGGAACCCCAGTAGTGACTAGCTGCTAACTGGATTTAACTCCATTCCCCATAACTCTTTGGGCTCAGCCATCTAGACAGTTTTTTACCCAGCAAAGAGTACATATACCCACACCATGGGCTGCTAGTTTCTCCAGGAGAATGATGTGGGAGACAGTGTAAAAGGCTTTGCTAAAGTTTAGGTAGACAACATACACAGTCTTTCCCTCTTTCACTGAGTGGGTCACCTTATCATAGAAGAAAATCAGGTTGATTAAGCAGGACCTTCCTTTCCCAAACCCATGCTGACTGGGCCTGATCCCCCGGTTGTCCCACACATGCCACATGGTGGCACTCAAGGTCACCTGCTCCATGACCTTCTCTGGCACCAAGGACAGGTTGACAGGCGTGTAGTTCCCCGGATCCTCATTCTGACCCTTTTTGTAGATGTGTGCCACACTGGCTAACTTTCAGTCATCTGGAACCCTCCTGGTTAGCCAGTACTACTGTTAAATGATGGAGAGTGGCTTGATGAGCTCTTTTGCCAGCTCTCTCAGTACCCTTGGGTGTATTCCATCTGGCCACAAGGACTTGTGAGTGTCTAAGTGGCACAGCTGGTCACTAACTACTTCTTCCTGGATTATAGGAGGTTTTTTCTGCTCCGTGTCTCTGTCTTCCAGCTCAGGGGGCTGGGTACCCTGAGGACATCTGGCCAAGAAGGCATTAAGTAGTTCAGCCTCATCCTGGTGGCAATGTTCCCCCTTCTACATCAAATAAAGGATGGAGATTCTCCTTGACTCTCTTTTTGTTATTTATGTATTTGTAAAAACATTTTTGTTATCTCTTATGACAGTGGCTAGATTGAGTTCCAGCTGGGCTTTCTCCTTTCTAATTTTCTCTCTGCATGGCCAAATGACATCCATGTGCTCTTCCTGATTACATCTTGCTGCTGAGTACAAAAGAAAAGGCTTGCCTCTTTGTAAATAAAAAAAATATTAAGTAATCTATAGTGTTCTTCTGTCCTTTGGGATGGGGAGAAACAATTAACAGCTTTTCTAAATAGGGAACTGGGTAAAGCTTTGCTCGGACCAATATACCTTTAGCTTTCCTTCCTGCTCCCTTCCCTCAGCCACCTAAAACAGAAAGCAGAGTTGGAAGTGATCCTACTGCAAGCCCCTGAGGACCATCCTGCTGGCTTTTCTGCCCCCCTTGTGAAAATGGTGACAGCTTTTGCAGCCATGCTGGGTGTGAATGTGTGACACACTGCGGCAGGAAGTGCTCGATGTCAGATCTGGCGATAACCGGACCTTTCTTCCAGGAAGATGAGATCATGTGGTCTCGTATGTGAGTAACCTAGGTTGTGAATACCAAAGGCATAACACTCTCAGTGATTTGGGGCCCTTTTGCTTCGGGTTCCCCAAGAGCTCTTTGGAAATGTCACACGGGGAGCTGTCTCGCCTCGAACCAGTACGAACATGGTGTGTGGTTCACAAAACCACAGAAACGTGCTGCAATGGTGTCCATCGGTACCAGAGGCAAACCCAAGCTGAACAACAACACCGTGTGGAAAATATCAGTGTGGAAAATATTGAGCTAACAGCCACAGACGAGTCCTCTCTTTATCTTAAGCCCAGAGACAGCAGAGACAGCTGTCACACCTCTCATATCCTTCTTTCCAAGGTACTTTGTTCACAAATAGACATCACTCTCAGTCTCCTCCCACACCCCTCCCTCTTTTTTACTGTGAAGAAACAGAAAGGGTGCTTGCAGTAAAGGAATTCCTCTGAAGTCAGATCTGATCAAGCTTTTGGGTCCTTGGTTGATTCAAAAGCCTGTGGTGACAGACGTGGTATCCTTGCTTAGATAGATCAGATTGAGATTCTACATTTTTGGTTCTGATGAAAACACCAGAGAAGGAAGATTCTTCTTTCCAGGAAAGTTGAATGCAAAAAGTAAGGTCTTTGGCACTGGGAAATACCCTCAGCTGTGTTATGACCCACTGCCCTCATAGTGTAAACTAAGCAAAGCTATATATGAATACATATATGTCTAATGAGGCAGCTAGTCCCTCATTATCTGTGGAAATTTTGGCTCAGAGTAAGTTTTAAAAGTGAAATCAGATCTCAAATCTCTTAAGCAGTTCTGAAAGCACTCCCAGTCAAACACTACAGCTTTTTATCCACATTTAACATTTATTTACTAGAATCCACCATGAGGCAACTACAGAAATGGCTTTTGGTCTTCATGCAGTCCCAGACTAAACATGATCTAGTGGCAGAGCTAAAAACATCTATCTCTACCCAGTTGCCAAAATGAGCCAAAATGAGCCCCGGCCCAGGTCGATGTCACTGGCTGGAGCTCAGCCCTGTGTCAAGAGTCAGCCATGTGCCCATCCCCTCCACTCATTTATTGACAAGATAACTCTATTTACTCTGCTCTGGCTGCAGCACTGCTGCTTTTTGTGAAAAACGAAGGGGCACATACAGAGTTGTGGGGCTGTAAGCAGAAAGTAGTACAGGAAAAGTACCTGAGAAGGACCTGGGCTAGAAGAAAAGCAGATGCTTCAGGGAGGAGTGAGTGGTGGTGCAACTGAGTGCAGGGAGCCCAGTGTCAGGAGACTGGACAGCGAGAAGAGCAAGACAGAGGGAGTCTTGCAGGCTGGGACTGAGAGGCACTGTCCTTTCCTTTCATCTGCCTGACCACTGTGGTAACCAGACACGCTGTCTACTGCCCTCTTCCCTCCATCCAGTGATCTACACCTGCCAGACAGAATCTACTCCATCCCTGTGCTGGGGAGCACACCCTATCGTTTACCTCTCCCTCCAGTGCGACCAAAGAGGGTGGCCAAGGAATACAGCATTTGCTCAGCAACTCCCTGTCCCCTGAGGAGGACAACATAAGCTACCTGTGCCAGCCTCCTGGGTTGTTCTTCTCTGCACAGCTGGAGGTTCTCTTACCCTGACTTTTTCTGGACCCCCCCTGCTCATCCTGCACATCTTCTGTCCCTGTGAACCTCCAAACCCTCCATTTCAGAAAAGAAAAAAGTGGTTGTACGGGGTGCTCTGACCCATCGTGGGCAGGACGGTGCAGGACAAAGGCCAAGCTGAAGGGACGTGACAACAGGTTATTGATCGCTGCGGAGACCTTGAGCTCGGGTAAATAGATGTCCTACTTTCTCCCCCACTCCATGCATGTGTGAGCTGGCTGGTGTAGGGGTATGGGCCAGGTCTCACAGGAAGCAGCAGCTTTAAAGGTAGGTCTACAGCTCTGGGGGAAACCCCAGTGCCTACCATCAAATCTACTAACAAAGAGGCTCTTCTGCTGCTGCTTCCTGCCCTACTCTCACTGCCTCTCCATCTGTGGTTGTGTGCTTATGCCTGCTGTTTCTGAAGGGATGCTGTGATAGCGGAGAAGTGCCCTTGCTCTCCTGCACTGCCTGACTTGACTCCTTGGGAAGGAGATCCTCCCCAGGGTTTGCACAGAGAGGTGCTCCACAAGGAGCAAGGGAGGGCAGCCTGTGCTGGGCCTGTTTATACTGTCTGCCTCTCTGGAAGGGTGTGTTAGAGCAAGAGGATGTGTGACTGTTTGCCCGAGTGATGATGTTCACCAGGCTGCATTTAATGTTCCAGAGTGAGTTACCTGGTGCTTATGTTCTGCAAATGTGTTCCCACGTTGCAAGGCAGCCTGGAGGGCTTGGAGCTCCATAACTGGGGGAAAGGAGACTGAAAAGCCCCCTTGCCCTTATGAAGTGATGCTCAATGGCACCCACACAGGGTAAAATGTGCATGAGGCCAGCCATCTCTTCCCACATCTGTAGCAAGTCCCTCACATGCACTCCTGCCCTCAATCTCACATCCACATGCACATACACTGGGCACAAAGAGGACTCATAGGCACATAGACAGGACGCAGGCATTCCCCAAGACCTCTGTCCCCTCCCATGCGAATGCATTCACATCCCTTTCCTCTCCAATTACAGAAACACAGAATGCCTTTGGGGGCAGGCATGCACTGGGTGGTGGCAAAGGAAAGGAAAAGTAAAGGGGGTGAGATAAGCAGTATTAATGTGGTCTCTTGGGCAATGACATTTCTTACCCTCAGAGTCTGGGGCTGACAGAAGGGAAGCAGTCAGGGAGAAAAAAAAAGAAGCAGCCTGGGGTAGATGAGGGGCAAAGAAGACAGAAGGTGTCCCCTGGCACAATCAGAGGGTGGTGGAGGGCTGAACATTAACCAGGTGCTCTCTTCTCATCAGCTCAGCTAGTGAATCAGTGCCAGCATCATCTTTGCCTGGGAACACATGGTCTGGTGGGAATGGCAAGGTTTGCTTACTTTAAGGGATCAAGATAAAAATGGCACAGTGGGCAAAGTGCAACTTCGGGCTCCCAGGCTGTGGCTGCTTTGTGCAATTTCTGCATACATTTGAGGTCACAGATTTTCTTTTGCATTTATTTCTGGGTCAATATAATACCAGTTTTAAAACAATTCCCAGCCTGGGAGGACAACACTTTTGCATTCAGAAAAATGCATTATTGTATTCATTTGTGGTTTTGGCAGAAGCAAAACCCAGGGAATACCTTTGAAAACCAAGGATTTACCAGGAGGTGCAGACAGGATGGTGTTCTAGAAGCCAGTCTCCCACTGATTTAGTTTTACTCACATTAGCTCTGATCAAAGTCTTTGATGGCTGGCCCCAGAGATCTCTTGGGGCTATAGATCTTGGGAGAGGAGGACAGAGATGACATAACACCTGCAGAGACAAGTGTAAAGGGAAGCATAAAACCCGGCCTGACAATGACATGCTGTGTCACCAGATGCCCCTGATGGAGGCCGAGGAACAGGAGGAAGACTCCAGCTCCCTCTCAAATGACAAATCGGAGAGCAACTCACATCACTGCCTCTGCTATGTGCCCCTTGGGATTGCCCTTCTTGTGCTGGCTGGAGCTGCTGCAGCAACCTGGTATTTCCTAGGTAAAAATTCACATTTTTTCCCCCCTGCAGGAGGTGGATGGGGTGTAGTCAAAGCAATGCCCAGCCCAATGTTAGTGACTCTGAGTGATCTTTAGACACTCATACACAGGGGTAAACCCCACTCTCCTACATATCACCAAGGTATTCCAGTAGTGTCTTCTGTTGGCAGACTACAGACCATGGCACCTGGAACCATCCATCCTGCAGTTTTACTGTGGCAGCCTCCAGGTCCTCAATCGCTGGTACTCCCCGGACCTTGGGCAGGTGGAGTCCAGAGCCTTCTGGTTGGAGTCAGCTAAGCTCCAGAACATGGTGAGAGCAGTTTCATGAACAGTCCCTGAGGCCTTTCAGTGAGTAGAGAGGAAGGGGTCAGATACCCCCATCCAAGGACAGACTTGGTGGGTCTCTACAGCAAGAGGGATGAAACTCCAAATTGGCCGTAGGTCCTTTGCCCTGTAATATTGCACTATAGTTACTAATCAGATGACATTTTCTTTTCAGGTGAAGGAACTGATTCGTGCCACAGAGCTGGGTCGATATTACAACTCTAGCACAGTGTATGCCTTTGGGTGAGTAGCACCCACAGCATATTTGCTTGTTCGTGTGTGAAAGCTTCCAGTCAATTGTACTCTGCTTTCACTGAAACCTGGCCGTGACAAATTTCTGCAGTCCCCCCACACAAGCTCCAGACTAGGCTGGACAGTCCAGATTCAGAATGGTTCCAGCATAACACAGCTGAGGATATTTGGATGTTCTTGTTCATCCCAGGCCATGATGAAAAGCCAAAACTGAGAAATTTTTCAGAGAGGCAAAAGTTCAAGGGAGGAAAAAAAATTCACTGGGAAGAGATGAAAAAAAAAATTTGGCTTGGCATTATCAGTAGAAACTAAGCAGCTGGAAATTAATTTTCCTAATCCCAGGAAGTAATTTTATGGCCTGATTCTAGGCACCAGAAGGGAGAGGTCAGAATGCACTATGGAAAAGGTATTCCAGCCAAGAAGCGTGGACCACCTGGGAACAGGATAGCAGTGGAATGGGACAGATGTGGGACTACAGCTTTACAGATCATAACAATAGATTATGATAGCAGAAATAATTTCCAGAACTAATGCTCATTTGCTTCTGATTTTTTTTTCTATGCACCCCTAAATTTGTCCTTCACCTAAAAAAAATTCCAATTTTGATGTAATTCCATTTTCAATTGGGGAAAGAAAAGTCTCACTTGCAACTCTTCCTCTAGCCTTTTACTGAACAAAGGTTTGTTTCAACAACTCTTTGCCTTTCCCCACCCATTTTACTCAGCTAGCTGGTTGAACAGAGCTTTCCCAGTCACAGCCTCCTGCAGCTTGAGCCTGCCTAGCATTAATGGGTTGTATTAAGGTATTGAGTCATAAATCATCCACTTGATCACCATTTGTCACCACTGGGAGGTGGAACAGTGAAGTCTTGAGTGTTTCTTTTCAATCCCTGGTCAGTAGTATCCAAAGATCATTTCTACCTGAAATGAGACTACTCATTAGACCAGTCCTGATTAATTATCACATTAATTTGAGCTCATATGGTCATCACTAAAGCCAGATGGCATAAAAAGTCTTCCTCCCACAAAGGGAGTCAAACCATGGACATTGCAGCTCTCCTGCCCCACTCAGAGATGTTCCTCTGGGTCACAGCAGCGAGATGGAATGTCCACACAGATATGTCTGATTTGTGGAAAAACAGTGTGGGGGGGTTAATCTCTAGGGTTTCTCTCTCCAGTTGTTCTGGAGATGTAGAGAATATTTGACATGATATTTCCCTGTTAGGGAGGGGGCTCTGACCTTCTTCTTCTGGTTCACCCTCCAAATCCCTGAGAGTCAGCAGAAGGAAATAACTGCTGAGAGGGTAAACACAGTGCTCCACCAAGAGCTCTCCACCAGCTTCAACAGCTCAGGCAGCCTGTCCTACCAGACGGAGTACAGGGTCAACCCAGACTCGCTGGTTCTCCTGGGTAAGTACCAGCTGCTCCCCTGTGGCCTGAGCAATCAGAAATGCTCCCAAGATTTGTAAGGTTAGGAGTCACTACTGAAGGGGACAGGGGAAACCTGAAGAAGAAATAGTAAGGATCAGAAATATAACTACATTTATTTCTTCCTGATAGAGAAGAAATGAAGTTTGATTTTAAAAAAAATCATTGTTCCTTTGAAGGACTAAATATTATTGGAGATACAGCAGACCATGATCAACTAGGTAATTTTTTTTCCACCCATCAGCTTTGGCTTCTCTGGAGCAAGATCTTAGACAGGTCATGACTTTGATCAGCTCAGCTTGAAAATAGCAAGCAATTAGGTTTCCTACTTTCCTTTGGGAGATTATTCCAGACTATTTGATAGAGAGAACAAAAGCAACATACCTGAGTCACCACTAAGACTTCTTCTGAGACAAAGCACCGTTGCCACTTCAGTACCTGACTGATTTTAAATCTGATGGTTTTAAGGGTTATTTATTGTTGCCCACAAAGAAGGTCCCAGCCTGTTTAAAAAGCCACCCATACAAAAACTGCTCTAAAATAAGTGTTAGGAAAAGGACTAGGGATGTGTCTATATTCAATGCATCCAAGTTCAATGGAATTTATATTTGGTCTTTATAATGAAGCTTAACTTCTCAGCCTGGTCTGATCCCTCTTACAGAGTTCCAAATCTCCCAGGTTTTAAAATACATTATTTTTCTTCTCTCCTCTTGGGAGTCCTATTTCCAAGTTTCTTCTTCTCTTGAAAAGTTACATCCCAGGGGTTTTTCCCTCAGACGTGCTAACTTGCACTTTTCTAAGATGAAGCTTCTTTTATTATATTCCACCCATATTTTCTTTAACTTTTCCCTCTACATCCCAATTGTTTTGTGGGTCATTTTTTTGGTGTGTGTAAAGAAAATTCTATTTCCTCAAAATGATTTTCACTCCCTCATCCAGACCATCATTTTAAGATCTTATTCTGAAGCTGCATTAGCATCTCATGAAGACATCTCCTCCTGCAGCTACCATCAGTCCCTTCTACTTTTGATTTGTTTCCAGCATACCAGACCTTATGTTCAGCCAATCTAAATGAACTTTCTTGACAAACACATCATAAGGAAATATGCTAAATGCTTCCAAGTGAGCCCATCTAGCATTTTCCCTTTATTTCCTCACTTCATAATGTAACTCATAAACAAATAAAAATTATGGTGCCATACTTTTAGCTATTCCCAGTTCCCTCTTACCACTTTGCATCTGTTTCACTGTTTTATTCATTTCATCAGACCACATTTCTTTCTATTTTGGACTTAACACACCAGTTACAGTTTCTCCAGCTCCTTCTGCTTTCCCTAGTCCTTTCCACCTCCCTCTTCGGTCAGGAGCACAGTCTAGCAACTGAGGCAAAAGCCAAAAACCTCTTATACTGCTGGGCCAGGGTGACCTCAAGCCAATGACTTAACCTCTGGCTTCCTCTGCCCCGTAAAATTAGAGTGAAAAAAATAGCTAGCTAATAGCACATCATTAGCACTTCATTGCTTTCTGACAGACTCATTTGCTGGCCTGTTTAGCTCTAAACATTCATTCTGCCTTGAGACACAGAGCTGGAAACCATTGACTAGTGCAGGAAACTCTCCAACATCTCCAGTGCTTTATTTTTATTAGCAGCTACACTCGCCCCAGGACACCAGCTTCTCCTTTCCCCAGAAGTCTTTCAGGGCATCCTTTTCCCTACAGGAACTCAGTTATATTGCCTTCAGATACAAGAATACTTACTATCAGCTCAGCACACGCTCTTCCCTACAGCACATAAGCTTCTCTAGGAGCCTGCCTTATGCCTGCAGGATCCTCTTTTCCATAACATCTGTTTTTGCTATGACAAAACCATTCATTTCTCTCCACAGAATTGCTTAGGAGCTACAAAAAACCAAAGCCCTGACCTAGGCAAGCCCCCAACAGCAATTCTTACACTCAGCTGACCTCACAGTGCCTTTTATTTTGGCAATTACTCCCAGTAGCACCTGATCTTTGGCTGATTCCAGTTCAGCTGGGAGGCTGGAGGAAAGCCCAACTCTCTTAAAAGTGTTGTCCACCCTGTGACTCTGTTTTGCACAGATTTATAGTCCTTGCTGGTGACTTTCTGTGCATCTCCCTTCTCCAAAGTAGGACTCTATAAAGATGTTGAGTAGCTCATCAACCAGTGATCATCAAAAGAGACCTCCTTCTCCACCCTCAGTAACTCCTGTATTTTTCAATGAGGGTTCTTTAAACTGGGAGAGCAGATGGTGAAGGCTCTGGGAAGGGGGGCTGTGCTTGTGGTGTGACTGCCAGAGGAGGGAAATGACTGCCTGAAGCAATGCCTATCCCTCTTGGGAAGAGGTCCTGGAATAGCACACAAAAAATAGACAAGGCAAAAAGCAGAGAAGTCCGTGGTGGGCTGGAAAGCATGAATTGGGGCTGTTGGATTTGGGGTAGAGGGCAGAGAGATGGGTTGGGGAAGGCATGGCTGAAACAGGTCCCCACGAGCAGACAGAGAGGTACCTGGAGGATGCCCCATGCCAAAGCTGTGAGTGAACCAGTTACATAGGAAGGAAGGGAGTCCTCACCTGCCATGCTAGCATTCAGATCCAACCAGTTTATCTTTTGGTTTATCTTCCTTTACGTATTTTCTTTCTAACAGAATCCAGTGTGAAAGACATAGCAGTGCTGAAATCCACTCTGGGTAGGCTACCTTTTCCTTTCCTTTTGAGTTCATGACTTTGTGGGAGGGATTTTCACAGGGGACAGAAAGCTTGTTGGCTTCCTGGAGCTGTAAAACTTGGGAAGGGAAGAAGAGAGTAGGAGCAAGGGAGCACCAGTGCTGCTGCTTGGCCAGATGCAAACTACACGACTCAGCTGTATGGTGGATGGCTCTGAGCATCCTGACAATGCTGCCCCTGTAGGCCTCCACTAGGCAGAGGTATCAGCTACCAGGGGCAGTGCAGCCACCTTAGTCTTGTCCTGGTCCTAATGAGAACTGTTAAGTAGCTTGGTGAGCTGGTACAAGTGCTAATTTCAGGCCCCATGCAATGTTGCTGAACGTGTGTGTGGGCGGTGGGCATTTCCTGCGTGGCTCTGCATTGGATGTGCTGTCAGTCATTTAAGAGTCTGTTGTCTTAGCAATGTTTGAAGATGCTTTAAGTAATTTTGGCCAGTGTTGTAAGTGCTGTGGCTGGCAGCTTGCATTAGATATGCTATTAGAAACTCACCTTTAAGCTGATATTTACTCAAAAATTCTAGTGTGAAAGCCTTCTGAAACCTGGAAATCAGACGAGGGAGATGTAAAGTCAGGAAGAATATGAGGCTGAGAAAAGAAAAAGGTGAAAAAGAAAATAAAGCCAATGAAAGAAAACTGTGCTGTGCTGATATTTAAAGCCAGAGGTAGTATTAGCTTAATCAAGGACAGCCTTACCCTAAAATGGGGTTCACACTGATGTCCCTAGCAATCTCACATCTTAATTTCCCTTAAAACCATCCCTAAGCCCCCCTTTGCCTCCATTTAGATCACCCGAACGTTTGAATCCCTCTATATTTCCCTTTGATTCAGGTTGCTACAGGTACAGCTATGTCCAGGAGGATGACATCCTAAGGCTGGAGGGCCCTGACTACCTGGCCTCCAGTTGTCTTTGGCACCTTCGTGGCCCCAAGGGCTACATGATCAAGCTACACCTGGAGTGGACTCTCCCTGATTGCAGGGACCGCCTGGCGATGTACGATGCAGCTGGGCCCCTGGAGAAACACCTCATCACCTCGTAGGTAGCTCCTGAGCTGGGGGAACACGGTGGGGAAGCCAGGCAGGATGGTGTGACACACCACAGCAGAGGAAGGTGTTAGACTACATCAGAGGAAATTCTCTTTGATGCAGAACCTGCCTCTTGCTGATCAGCTGAAGTCACTGATGTGGGATATGTATTGCACAGGCAGCTGTGCAGCACGAGCTGTCTCGCTGTTGGCCCTTTGGTTCAGTTGTGCCTCACAGCAGGCATAGGCTGTGCATGGATAACACAGACCTCCATTGTCTCTCTCATTCTTCTCTTTCATTTGTTTATTGCTTGCTGCACTCCCATCTTTTTATCTCTTTCCCTTGAGGATCTATGGCTGCAGCCGGCAGGAGCCCATTGTGGAAATCCTTTCGTCTGGCCCTGTCATGTCCATTGTGTGGAAAAAAGCCATGTACAGCTACTTTGACCCCTTCATCCTCTCAGCGCAGGCGGTGCCCCTCAAAGGTGAGGAAGGCTGGAGGAAGGCGGCTATAGATATAGAAGACAGGTCATCTCCAACAACATCACAGCTCCTAGAGGTCCGTCATCCCTATGAGGGGCAGAATTCACTCTGAATTGCAAGGGTAGAGGTGGTCAGTAAAAGGCAAGTTAGGTGTTGCTCCCTCACTTGTACTCACACACTAGCATGTGACTCGAGCCTTTAGAGCTCAGGCTCTGGCAGGCAGAGCCTGAGAGATCACGATACTTTAAAAGAAGGGTCTCATACATGGACAGACCAGATATGGCCTGGACATCACATCCACATGCACTCGTAGATAAATGTCAATTCTATATAAGACTCTTAGACAGCAATAGACATTATTATTACCCTTCTCTGGACAAGAGGAGGATGCTAAAAGTCTTGCTGGGTAGAAATGGCCACTTGAAGGGAGATGGCAGAACACCCCAATCACCTTTAGCATCAGTCCCTTTTATCTTCTTCTCTAATGGGCTGGATACACGGCATCTCCACACTGAGACTGAGCTGACAGATAGCAGGGCCTTGAATGTCTGTATTTACAGCTTGTGAAGTGAATATAACTCTGCGGGAGGACCTGGAGCTGCAGGGGAAGATCGGCACCCCACATTACCCCAGTTACTACTCGCCCAACACGCAGTGCACCTGGCACATGATGGTAAGAGCCAGCTCCCAGAAGAGCATCCAACCATCCCTGAAACCCGGGCAGCACTCCACGCATTGTGGGGAGTACAGCCATTTCTATGAGCCAGACTATCATGAGAAGCAAGCAGTAAGTGACAGCCTGCCTAGCCTCCACATAAGGTGTGTTTCTGAAGGGTAAGGAGTCTAATATTGCATACCAGCACAGAGATGCCATAGCTGAGGAGGAATCTGAAGTCTGGTCTCCAGAGGAGTTCTTCAAAGCAGAACCAGAGTGCTAGGAATTGCCAGGTTTAACACCAGGAGCAGAGCCACCCTGGGCTATGGCATGGCCCCGGTTTAGAGAGTGCTTCCTTCTGACCTGCGATGTGGCCAGACACATCTGGTCTTCACATCTGTGCTGCTCATTTCTGATTTATGGAGTGTGCTGCAACACATATAGGAGCCATCTCTCCTCTGCTCTGGACACTCTTGTCTGCAGGTCCCTTCCCTCGACTATGGAGTCACCCTCTGGTTCGATGCCTATGCACTCAGCAGACAGAAGCATGACCTGCCCTGTACCCAAGGCCAGTGGATAATTCAGAACAGAAGGTGTGTGTTGGGGTCCTGGTTTCTGTCTCTCACTTCCCACCTGGGATTAAACTCGTATTAAACCTCTGCAGGTTTCCTGCTCGCTTCAGCCACCATACCTGACAAAGGCAAGCCTACACTCAGTGGCCACTGCTTCTGCTGGTGCCTCTTGCTTTTCTATTTTTTCAGCTTGCCTTGTTCACTGTCTCCCCAGTGAACACATTTCTTATGGATTTTCTTTGAGCTACCAGCCTGCTTTCTCTGTCTTGCTGTTTGCATCAGGCTTCTTAGTTTTCTCCTGTGTGTGTAACCTTGGTGTCCTCCCACATCTCCTGTGTTTGCAAATCTGCCTGTCACCGCCTCTGCAATATTATCTGTGTGTGCCATTGCCTTACATCCACCTCCGTGCAGATCTTCCCCTTAGCTCCATATCCTCCTTTTTCGACTGCAGCCACTTCCTCCTGCAGGACTTCTCAAAATTAGCATCTATATTTAGCTGGGGCTCACCACTGCCCAGGTGCAAAGAGTGGAGAGGTGTTGTGCTCTCATCTTCCCAAAGCAGGCTCTGAGATAGATGGACCCACAGCTTTTGGTTTTCCTCCCACTTATTGCAAAATTGCCATTTTCCCTCCAAAACCTCCCCCGACCCATCTCATTAGTGTCTTCTCCGCTGTTCCTGTGGATGTAACTTTTCCTTTGATGAGTATGATCAAGAAGCTGTGTTCCCCTGGCTTAGGATTTCTACTTTTTCTCTCCCCACCTTTAACTCTTAAACTGTCAGTGCTTACCAGAAAGCGGGAAGTGTCCAGGGATAGTGGGGTCACTCTGGACTCTCTATCTCATGCATATTTAAGGCATTTTCCCTTCCTGGTTTTCCCCCAACATCCAGTCTGCGTGGTCCTCTTCCCACCAGGCCCGCTTGCCCCACTCTGTTGTCTTCTCCTCCCTCCCTGTCCAAACCATCCTGTCTGTGTTTGCTCCTCAGGTTGTGTGGGCTGCGGACCCTACAAGCCTACGCTGAGAGGATCCCAGTCTCATCTTCTGCTGACATCACCATCGTCTTTACCTCGCAGATCTCCTTAACTGGCCCTGGTGTACAGGCAGCTTACAGCCTGTACAACCAATCTGACCGTGAGTTCAGGCTTCTCCCTGCTCCTTAGTGGGGTGGTGGGTACTAGCAGCCCCTGTGCACTTGGCTTGTGCACAGGGGAAAACACAAGCCACATTCCATGAGCCCTACACACCATCCACCTTTCAGGAACACGCTCACAAGTCAGTGACTCACGCACCACTGATCTCCCCAAAAGGAGAGGCATTTATGTGCAAAGCTGCTTCTGCACATGTGGCCCTGCCTCATGTTGCCAGAGCACCCATGTGACAAAACCCAAGGTCAGAGAGTTGTCTAAAATCTTACCCTCATGCCAACATCACAGGCTGGCCTTGGAAATTCATTGAGAAATCATTTCTGCTTGAAGCAACGTTTGTTTTGATTATGAGAGCTCTTAGAGAGAGCTTTTTCCTGCTCACCTTGGAATCCATGCAAACAAGAGACAAATAAAACTGCACATAAATACACATACACACATATACAAGTGCTGTCCACAGTCCATCTTTCCAAAGTTTCACCGTCTCCCTCCTAAAGGGTGCCAGTAATGCATACCAGTCCCTGAAGACATGCAGCTACCAACATGTGTCTAACACCAACCCTTTCAAGGTCCCAACCAAGTTTTAATAACAACTCCAAAGAGCCTATTTCAGCTTTCCCACAGCATTCAGGAGACATGAAAAAGTACTAAAACAGAGATATGGTTTACCAGGCAGGTGGTTATCCTGGCTATTGCCCATTGGTACAATGCAGAACAGGGAAAGAGCCAGGTGCATAGCCTGGCTCCATTTGCCCTTGTTAAGAGCAGATGACAAGGCAGATTTTGGGGAGCACAGTGAGTGCTGCCAGCACACTGCAGCAGAACTTGTGTGGTCAGGAAAGTGTGCAGCTCTGTGCTTCACTTTCAAGCCATGGTGCTCTGCTGCACAAGGTTTCCAGTCCCTGGGCACTAACCACTCTCTGCTGGTTTCACAGCCTGTCCTGGGGAGTTCCTGTGTTTGGTGAATGGCTTGTGCGTCCCAGCCTGTGATGGGATCAAAGATTGCCCCAATGGGCTGGATGAGAGAAATTGTGGTGAGTGATTTCTTCTCCCCACTGGTCCTCAGTCTCAGCAAGACACAGCCCCTTGCTCCTCCTAAAGTAGGGAGAATTGGGAAAGATTTGGTCAGCCTAGGTACAGCCTCATACCTCCCCCCAGGAACTTATACCTCTGCATCCTTGAAAGTCTCATCCCACTGCTGTCTGGTTTTAGCCTGCTCTGGATGGAGCAGCAATTCTGGCTTCTGTGCGCAGCACAGTCTTCCTGGGAGAACCCCCCAGTACCCATGCACCAAGAGCTCCAGGCAGCCTGAAAGAAGCCCCCTACCCAGGCTGTCCCCCACCTTGTCCTGCATTCCTCCCACCCAGAGTCTACTATCAACCTCAGCCCTAGCCTACAGCCCACTCTGCTGTCACACACTCAGCATCCCCCTCCCAGTTCACACCTACCCAAGCCCACCTGCTGCCCTTCTCTCTCTTCTTTCCCCCCAGGCCATTTGTGACATTTGATCTGTACAGATCCTCAGTCACATATTGTGCCCCAGTTTGGGAGCATCAAAGTCCTTGATCAGCCCCAGTCAGTTCTTCATGCCAACAGCAGTTAGTGCTGACACGAACACCATCCTTAGCATCCCAGCACTCCTGCAGAGCCCCATTTTTATAGGAATTGTGATTCAGGTTTAGACATGACACCTAATTCATCTATTCTCCCATCTCCAGTGTAAGGGGACAGCTCATCATGTTGTTGCCCCAACATCACTAACATTGCATCACTAACTTTTCATTAGTTGTCCCCTATGATTGTTTTTTCAGACAAAGATCCCTGAGCTACTGGAGACAGTGGCCAACTCTGAAAGATTCAGAGGAAGGTGTAGGAAAAGTCTAAACAAAAAGGAAGGAGAAATCTTTCTCAAGGAAGTTTTAAGACAGTGCTAGAAATGTGAGAGCTCTCATAGGGTCACCAAGGTTGGGTTTTGTATTGTTTGTAGTTTTGCTGACAGTGTTCTCTGTCCCATCATCCATCTGTCTGACATCAGGGTTTGTGTGCTTCCTTCATCTAGACATGTATACATTTGCATCCTTATGAATATCTAATCCTTTCTTGAAGCCTGGTAGCTTCTTGGCCCCAGCGATATTGTGTCATTCAGTTTCACAGGTTGACACAGACCAAGACTAACAAAAAAAACTTTCTCGGTGTTTTCAAACAACCCTTCATATTTGAAAAGCAAAAGAGAAATGTCGTGATTTCCTTCCTTTCTTATACTGTTGCTTTTCTGGTTATTCACTCCATGTCTGTATGGAACAGTTCCTGTCTTTGAAATCAATGTTCAAGTTACCTCAGACCTTCATATGCCTTTAGTCATCTGGAATCCTCATGCTAATTAATGAAGAAATTACAGTCATTGCAGTAAGAAAATGCCCAGGAGGTACTGACCCATCGTGTTCTGTGTTGCACATAAATATGCACAAACACAGGACAAGTTCCTGCTATGGAAATGTGTGATCAGAAGTCAAACTCTGTGATGGACAGGCCTATCTCCATCCTGAGTGGCCATCAGAGCTCATGGACTCCACTGTTGTTCAGGACTCACCTGCAAGGGGAACCACTGGTCTGTATGAGATGGTGATCCATGAGCTGAGGGTGATAGCAAGGCAGGAGGAACAGTGACCTCACCAGACAGGATGCAGTCCTACAGAACCCTAACAAGGCAAGCAGACCAGGTCTGGTGATGGTAACTTGAGAAGTCCAGTGACCTCAAAGCACGTATATAGTGCTGAGGCAGGTCTGAGGCCAAGAAAGAAAAGTTAAGTCAGCAACAACAGTGTTAAGACAGGGTGCAGACATACCTACAATGTAGGTCAGGCAAAAACTACACAGCTGCACTAAACTAGAGCTGGTCTTAAGCACAGCTTATGAGGTGTGGGAAGTTTGTAGAGACTATTGGTGCACTGAGGCCCCTGACCTCACACCTTGTCTTGCATGCCCAATTTGCGTGTCTTTCCCTTCCATGCAGTGTGTCCTGCAAGGTTCCAGTGCCATGAAGACAGCACTTGCATCGAGTTCAGCAGGGTCTGCAACCAGCAGCTGGACTGTGTCAATGGGAGCGATGAGGAGCAGTGCAGCGAAGGTAGGGAGGGGGCAGTGCTGGCATGAAAAATGCCTTCCCCTACATTTGAGCCAAGGCTGTTGGAAGCATAATTCCTTCATGTGACATAAGGACACCAGCTGGGAATTAACTTGCCTGACCTGCTCACAATGTTTGTGAGCTGTTTGTTTGTTCAGGAAATTCCCTGTCATCATTTATGGAGTTCCCCCAAGCTCTCTGCTGGCTTTTCTCCCCCACTTAAAGGACTTCAGGCTATGTCTACAACAAGATGCCCTCCTTCAGCCTTGATTCCCCTTCCTTTTTGCAGGGGTCCCCTGTGGTCCTTTCACCTATCGCTGTGAAGACGGGACCTGTCTGAAGAAACCCAACCCCCTGTGTGACACCACTGCAGACTGCAAGGACCTGTCTGATGAGAAGCGCTGTGGTGAGGAAATGATCCATTGCATGTAACTCAGGCAGGTTCAGGATGACATGCAGCTGCAGGTGGTCCCATTTTTCCCCACCACCCCAGAAGAAGCACCCACCCTCCCTTGTTCCACCACCTTCTCCCCACCCCAGTCCCACAGTATCAGTGCTCCTGCTCCATCCTGAGGTGGCAGGGTCAGCAGCAACGAGCCAACTCTGTGCTGAACTCATCTCTCTCAGGCAGAGGCATCAGGCCAGATAGACATGTCTCACAATCCAGGTTCAACCCACAGGCTTCCTGTTGGAGCCCTGTGTTGGCTTATGTGAAGTAATACCATCATACAAGGCTCCAGCCAGAAAACTCACCCATGTCTGCATGGCCACTGACAGGGAGAGAATTCATGTTTTGATTTCTCTACTTGTTTTCTGGAGCATCAGTAGGCAGTGAAAGGGAATGACTGGGAGGGTTTCCTGACAGCACAGTCAGCATGCTGCCCCAAAGGCATGCCCAGGCTGCAGCTGGAGGTGGGGAGCACTGTGCAGGCGTCAGCAGGGACACACACTGGGAGGGAGTGCTCACTACACCTGTCTTGGGCAGTACATAAAGCTGAATAGGTAAGGCAGGGGATTAGAGGTCAAACTCTTCAGTCAACTAAGTAGGAAGCAAAGGGAAGGCACAGTATATCATGTTCCCTTCCTTCCTTGAAGTACCTGCCGTGTCTCCTCCTCAGACTGTGGGATGCAAGCCCCTCTCAGCAGGATTGTGGGCGGTCTGAATTCTGTGGAAGGGGAATGGCCATGGCAGGCCAGCCTACAAGTTCGGGGCCGCCACATTTGCGGGGGAACACTCATTGCTGATCGCTGGGTGGTCTCAGCTGCGCACTGCTTCCAGGATGAGAGGTAAACGGAGATGGGAGGGTTCTGGATAGAAAGATTTGCATTGCTTGTCATGTCATGCATAATTGGAGGCTCTTCTGACTGGTGAAAATGTCGTGGGGCAGCTGCACCCTTCATCTGGCACCCCTGCCATGCTTCTCCATGGCTTGGAACAGGAGAAAGGGGTATGGATACACGCATTAGTATTTAGGTGTGCGTGCAGGGAAAAAGGAGCAATGTTGGGATTCACAGAACAGCTTTGAGGGGGCAGTTTTAGCAGAAAATGCTTCACAGCTCCACCTTTCCTTTGGCTCTGGCATGTGTCCATGCTATCATGGCTCCAGCCATGGAGATGTCAGCCGGTGCTGGATGGGGTGAGATAGCATTACCAGCAGAGCATGCTGTGTTGGTCCCATGCTTCTCTGCTGCATCCTACAGGCTGGCTTCCCCCTCCATATGGACCGTTTACTTGGGCAAATACTTTCAAAATGCCACCAGCCACACAGAGGTGTCCTTCAAGGTGATCCGCCTCTTCCTCCACCCTTATTACGAGGAGGACAGCCATGATTACGACGTGGCCCTGCTCCAGCTGGACCATCCTGTGATCATCTCACCTTTAATCCAGCCTATCTGCTTGCCTGCTCCTTCTCACTTCTTTGAGCCTGGCCTTCACTGCTGGATCACTGGCTGGGGGGCCCTCAAGGAAGGCGGTAGGTTGAAGGTCTTTGTTGGTGGATTACTGTAGCAGTGCCAAGGCAGAAACATAGGTTCAGATGTGTGGTAGGCAGAACAGGCTTCTGTTCATCCCGAACGTCCTTTACTCCTTTTAATTTTGGATAACAAATCAAAATTACCTGTTGAGTGCCCTGAAACCTCATTTAGAGAGGCAGGTTTGAGAGTCTGGTAATCTATATGGGGAAAGCATGTGTTTCTTCATTCAAAGACTAGAATAGTCCTTCAGGTCAGCTTAGTGCCTTCACCCACTCACACACTTGCTCCTGCTGCTTCCTGAACAGAAACACTCAGGAGACTATACAGAGCTGGACACTCCTGGTTTGCATACTTAGAAAAGCTTAACATCCATTTCAATAAGAAACAAACTTAGGACTCCTGGGAACCTAGAGGTTTCCCCAAACCAGAATCCCCCTTGTCCCAAAAGCTGAAGTGCCTACAACATATTTCTGTAAGGAAAGGCTTGAAAGGGAATTTTGCTCCTTCCATGAAGGTGAAGTGCTCTACTGAAGGTCAGAGATTGTGATGCCAGTGGAGAGCAGAACAGAAATTACAATGGCAGGTTTCAGCATGCAGTGAGATAGGCATAGGCTGGGGGATCGTGGTAAACAGTGGGAAGTTCCACCATAACTCACCTGCATTGCTTTTGGTGCTCCACCTTTCAGGGCACATCAGCAATATTCTACAGAAGGTGGACGTGCAGCTCATCCAGCAGAACATCTGCAGTGAGGCCTATCACTACATGATTACTCCCAGGATGTTGTGTGCTGGGTACTACAAGGGCAAGAAAAATGCCTGCCAGGTGACAGAGGAGTTGTGGGATCAGGGTTGACTGCCAGAGGTGGGGTGTGTCCCTAGTCTCACGGATGCAATCCACGGCCTGTAATGAGGGTTAAAAGACTATAGAATGTCCCTTCCCCAACACTTCTTCTGATCTAAGTGGCCAACAATGGCTCTCAGGGCTACTTCTTCCCTTAGGCAGTATCCAAATAGAGTTAAACATACCCTTTTCTCATTTCAGCCCACTCTCCACTCTTAACCTCCCACTTTCAAGTAAGGTGTCTACATTAGTCTCTTACAGCCTCTTTAGCACCTGTCACACACAGTAACCTGTCTGTTCCTTCGTTACTATCAACCTCCAGGAATTCTTCTCTCCCATCCCTCCCAGTATCCAGTTAAATTCCACCAGCTTCCTTGCTTGCCACATATTTGGAAATGCCATATGGAGCAGAAGGAAACAGTAGAGCAATCAGCTTCTTGGGATGTGGCTAAGGGGGAGGAATTTGCATGATGAAGGAATGAATGTGTTAGGTGTTTGCAATGGGAACTGTTTTTGACATCTGCCTAAGGTACAAGGAATGTTGCAGATGTCCCAGGCATGAGCTGAGGGGATAAAGGAATCTGCACATGGAGGGACTCAAAGACAGTGTAATCACGCAGCAGGAGAAGCTGGTGGATCGCCATCACCCCATTTTACTTTTCCTTTCTCTAGGGTGATTCTGGAGGTCCGCTGGCCTGCAAAGAACCCAGTGGCAGATGGTTTCTGGCTGGTTTGGTCAGCTGGGGAATGGGATGTGCACATCCAAATAACTATGGAGTATACACCAGGATCACTCAAGTGCTGGGCTGGATAAAGCAAACCATGAGCTGAGAAAAGTGCATCTCTATCTTCTCCCCATCACACCTACACTCACATGGCACTCATTTCTGATCTTGCTCACTTGCCTCTCAGAGAGTGTGGGATGTAGTCAGACCCAGGATGCTTTTCTGAATAGGGTAAGAGAAGGCTGCCATAGGGATTGTAGATAAAAGCAGGCAGACCCTCTTCCCTATCAGTGCTTCACAGGGAGCATCCCAAGGGGTTTTTAGGCTATCCATCCAAAAGAGGGGGGAAGGGAAGAGGGGGGAGGAGGAGTTGGGGGCAATGACATGACACACAGCAATAGTCCCAAGTTGATGGTTTCTGAGAAGAGGAATAAGAGGGTTCATGAACTTTCCACAAACCATGTGATTCAGCCACAGTCTTATGCTGGAACATTTGCTGAAAGAAAATGTGACTGATGTAGTTAGAGATTCCAGTAACTGTGAAATCAATCTGCCTCCCTCTTCCTTCCTGCTGCTTATCCTTCATCCCCCTTCCCCTCCCATCACTCCTCCTCTTCCATCTCCCTAATTGCTTCTTTTCTTAGCTGGCGTGTGCTGTTCAGTGTGCTGTTCAGCTCAGCCAGGCAACTCTTCACGTCTCACTGACTCCCAGGCACGAGTCCAGCATTGCACCCCCAAGCACGTGTCCTGCCTTCCTGCTGGAGCAGCACCCAGCCTCCACTGCTGTACTTCCCTCACTAAAAACACTGGAGCAGCCTCCCATTCCCTTCCCTCAGCCCTTCTAAATACCTTTAACATAAGGATGTCTCAACTGCTTCCATCTCCTATCTCAGGTAATGGAGGAAGTGAAGGAGAAGGCTTCAGGGCACAGTGCTTGAACTGCAACTGCTATGGGTTCGGGTTTTTTACTAAAGATACACGTATGTGTGTGTGTGTATATGGATATATATACAATGGACTGCTCTCTGGAATTAGAAATAAAATTAATCCGAGGATTTTTTTGGCTCTAGTTTGCCTCACTTTGTTAAAACCTATCTTGACGTTTGTATGTTTTTGACCAAGGTCCAGTCCTGGCACTGGCAACTGGCAAAAGTTTCCACACCCCTGCCCACCCCAGGTGTCCCTAGCACAGTGAGGTCAATCCTTTAGCTAGACAGGTGGTCCTCACTTATTGTTATGATTTAGGGGTGCAGGTACCAATAAGCAAACCCGCTCTGTAGCCCAACTGCCTGCAGCGGGGTTGAAGCACAGATGCAGCGAGAAGTACCTCCAGCCCCCAGAAAACAGGCACAGCACCAGCCACCAGCTTCTGGTGGCTCCAGATGATGAATCCAAACTCCTTTTCTCCAACTCCCACTCCCTTCTATCAGCAACGAATTCTTGCCACTTGAAATGAGAGGCAGCAAGGAGGAACAGACTGTGAATTTTATTCAGGAGTCTTCAGACACAGCAGTGAAGCAAACACCCCGCTCCCCAAAACAGGGATCTCCTGGTGCTGGCTGACACAACATCAGGTACCTGGGCAGCACACCTGTCTCCTCACCCTGCTGACACAGGGCTGCTCTGGGGGACAGGGAGGGAGGCACCAAGGAGCAATGCAGGTAGCCCAGAAAAGGACTGTGGCTCTGCATTTGCCCTCTGGCCATAAGCCCAGACCAACTGCCTGCAACAGCAAAAGGGCAAGGACTGGTCCTTCTGCAGTTGCCACCACCTTGGGTTCCCATTTGCATCCAGGGTGTTCAGGAAGGGACCGCAGGCTGCAGTGTTTGATTGCAGATGTCCCCACCAGGGGCCACTGTGACATTAAGGAAAGCCAGACTGCCAGGCATAGGAGGGCTCCAGCTCCTACAGCAGCCCAGAGGCTCCATGGAGCATCTGCCCTCCTCCAGGGCTGGAGGCTCAGGCCTCTAAGGTGAGTTTGTAAAAAAAACATGACTGCATGTGAAGAGTGAAGGGGGCTGGAGGGCGTCACTGTGGGGCAAGGGGCTGCCATACACTGCAGTACAAAAATAAAGATACAAACAAGAAATGAAAAGGCTGGAGTGTTGAGATCACATCCTCAGATCTCTGGCTTGTAACAGCTATAGAAGGAGAGAGAAAGAGAAATAAAATCAACGGTAGGGAAAAGAGCAACTGAGCATAGAGAGGAGAGTGAGAAACAGAAAAAGGGAAATGACAGAGGAAATGAGAACAAAAGAAAAAGAAAAGAAGTGTGGAGTGATGGTGGAAAAACAGCAAAAGGAAGCAAAAGTCCATGTGATTAACATACACTGACTTTTAAAATAATAACACACAGGTCCCACAACCATGGACAAGGAGGCTCTCAAAGAGAGGGAGAGAGAAATGTCAGACAGCTAACGAGTGCCCAGCACCAGGACAGATGGAGAGTTTCCATGCCCTGTCCCACTCATGTCGGCCAGACAGCCTTCCTAAGCAGGAGGCAAAGCATAGAGGCTCATTCTATTTGCAGCTGTGAGAACATCTGGAGTGGGGATTGGTCATTTCTGCTCTGCCTTCACCACCCTTTCCCACTGCGCTCACACCCTGACAGGGCCAGTGGGGGAAAAGCCCAGGGAAGTGGGAGCAGGGAGGGAAAAATAACAAGCTGCCTTCTGCAAACTGCTGGCGGGCAAAAGAGCTGCGGACGGCAGCCTGGAGGAGCGATCTGGCATGCGTGTCACGCAGACACGTGGCAAAATTCCCCCCCTTCCCCGAACCACCCCTGCCTGCTTTGCATTCATTTCCACCCCTTTCCCAGCTGCACTCTCCTTTCTGCTGCCAGAGCCTCTGGTCCAGAGCCATAGGATCTGCTTGGCAAGTAAAAACACACATAGGATGAGAATAGGTAGAGCCACCTTAGGGATGAGTCAACCTCCCCTCCCTCCTTCCCCTCCCCAAGTTCTACAAACCAGGGCCATACCCACAAGAGGGAAGTGAGTCACTCATGCAGAGCTCAGGCTGGCAGGAGCTGGGAGTGCAGACAGGTAACATACCTGCAGAGGAGGAAAAGTGAGGAGCAGAGAGAGACAGGACCCTGGGCAGAGACCACTCTGAGCCCTGGGAGACAAAGAGAGCAGAGGGAAGGATGCTGGAGGCTGGAGGCTGGCGAGTGGGGCAATGTAGGAGGTAGATGACAGTGCTGGGATGGACACGGAGGGGAGCAGAAGGGAGGGTCCGCAGGAAGAGAGTTTAGCGCAATCCCGAATAGATGGACAGTCTGCAAATAAAAATAAAACCATAGATAAACCAAACAGTTTAAAATACAAAGCAGCAGCCATGGTAACAGGTCTCCCCTCTCAGCTTTATCTCCAGAGAGACTCCAACTCCTGGAGAGGACAGTCCCCACACCCCACACCTGCTCTAGTCCTTCCCTGCTGCTAGCTGTGAGCTCTCACCAGAAAGGTGGACGGGTCTATGCCTGGGGGGGATATTTTTATCATTTTCCTCAAGGATTTGCTGCACCTTTCTCCTCTGCTTCTGCTTCTGCCTCTGCCTCTGCCTCCTCCTCCACCTCCTGCTCTTCCTCCTCCAGGTCCTCCTCTGTGCTCTGTGGCCCAGCATGCAGGACAAAAGGAAGAAAGAGTGGAGATACTTGCAAGATGACCCATGGCAGTTCTTTCTGACACACAGGGAATAAAGCAATTGTCATGACACTGGAATAAAAAGGGACATTTCCCCATGGCCAAGACAATTCTGGGTCAGGGAGCAGAGAGACTTTTTTTCCTCTGGAACATCACATCAGGGGTATCTAACCCACTTACAAGTGCTGTGACCCCACTGCCAAACAACTGTCATCAGTTGCTAGTGTTCCTTCCTCTATCCTAGATGTCTGCAGGATGTCATGCACTGCCACACATTTCTGTCCTTCCCTCAAAAGGGGAGCAGGAGATATTGACCCCTTAGGCAAAGACTCAGAAAAATGAAAGAGAATGCCGCAAAACCTTCAGGGAAACAATGCCCTAAAGGCAGTGACACACACAGCATGGGCATGAGAAGGCATGAGGGGGATGTTAGAGTAGCATGAGAAGTGCCAGGGTCACTTGCTAAAGCCATTTGCTACACACAGCCAGACACCACCTCTCCAACACACACACTCCTCCTTTTGGGCAACGGGTGTAATGCCATGGTGCTGAACACCAGGGCAGGTCCCTGTATTTCACCACTGAGGTGTCCCATGGTCACAGGCGAGAGAGGAAAGAGAGAGGGAGCAAACAAGAGTGAAGGATCTCATAGGCAAGGGGAGCAGGGCCATAGCAAAGTTGATCTCACCTTGGCTTTGTGGCTGGGCTCCGAGCTTAGGCCACTGGGGGAGTTGTACAACTCTTTGGAGACCACACACAAGAACTCTGTCTGATCCTCATTCCCATAATTATAGGACGAGCCAATGTTCACAAGCTAAAAAAGATGAGAGCAAGAATCACAAGCGCATGTTCCTGCAAACATCTTGGGAGCAAGGCAGAAAGTCCACCATGCAGCATGGAGTCCAGTCCATACCCACAGTGGAAAGTCCTTATAACTAAGCTGAGGAGACAGTACAGAGAACCAGAAGTTAGCCAGGATGCAAAACAGTTTGGCCTCACACAGTATCCTCTAAACCTCTACAAAAAGGGCGAAAGAGAGCCAGTGTGATGGCTCAGTCAATGACTTACCCAATATTCTCAGAGATGAAAGGAGTCTTATGTGGGGACTGTATGACATCCATGATCTTTTCAAAGGCAACTCCTTCCCACCCTGCTCCACCTTAACCATACCTGTTCAAAGCGCCATCCATCTGACATAGTGGAAACCATCTGAGTGAGTTCCTCTTCCTGGCACTGTAGCACACGGTAGACATGCTTAGGAGGCACCTGACAGCAAAATTGCAGAGCATGTTGACAATGGTCAGATGCTAAAGGCTGTTGCCCTCCTGCAGAATGAAGTGGTAGTACCCCTCCTGGACAGACCTGTACTCTCCCCGCGTCCCAGGTGAAGGGAGAGTGGAAACCATAACCCAGCTTTCTACTGTGCTGTCATGAGGAGCAAGAACAACTCTTCTGGAAAGGAGGGATTGAGCAGAGTGCTTCTTGAATTGTTCTCAGAAGATATGGACTCTTTTGATGGAAAGTTTGCACTTGTCATTACAAAATCAGTTTTGCAAATGCTAGAAATGCTGATGGGGGTTTGCAACAGTAAGTGACTGTATTGCTGGAGGCTTACAACCTGAGGCAGACATGATAAAAAGTGAGATAGCAGCCAATGCTCCTTCAAAGACAGATTTTCAAAGGTCAAGACAAGGTGTGATTTTGCCACAGGGTTGATTCCTGGTGACTCACTGTCTGCATTTAACTCTTTCACAGACTTCTCTTCACCTGTTCCCTTCAGGTTTCTCTACAGGTATCCCCATGCTCTTCAATGTGGTTACACTCCCAAGACTCCCCACACCAGAGCCCTCCTCTCCACGACACCTTTGCTCTCCTCACATTCTTCTATATTCCACAGCAATCAGCTTCCTGTTCCAAACACTAGAGGAGCTGATTTAGTTTCAGGGCCTACATCCAGCATTACTTCTGGGGATGCAAAACAAGCCTGTAACTTGTTTATTGTAATTAAATTGGTGGTAGCTTGTCCCATGCAAGATTTTGATGTGTAGGGACCAGCACATAATCTCTAATTAGTTGCTCCTTTCCATTCCTTGCTGCTTCTCCCAGGTCTGCTCTCCCTCTGGACTCATCTCTCCCTTTCTACATTCCCTGCTTTGCCCACCCCACTGTACCTTGCCATACCTGAGTGACTGTGTAGTCCTTCTCCTCCATTCGATCCTTGATTATTCGGATCAAAGGACCAATGTTATAGAACTCAGCTTCTTCTAAGATCCCTGAGAAAGAGACAAAAGGATCATAAAGACAGAAGTTAACCATCCATTTCCATTTTTTTTGACTTGCAAAAGATCAATTCTGAGCTTCCCAAGGTCCATAGGGAGAAATTACGCAGTAGCCTCACTTTTTAAGAGGTTTCCACTGCTTGAAATTCTTACTGCAGAGAATTGAACCTTGGCTCTCTGCATCATGTTTCTAATGCTCACCCCAATTTCCTTATGCTGCCTGCTAGTACAGAAACAGGCACTGCCAGTGAAGGCTTGTGCTGAGGACTGCTAAAATCTTTCCCAGACAACTGGACAAGGAGAACAAATGTAGGCTCCAGCCTCTCTCAATGACAAGTCATCAAAAGACCCTGGGAAAAGCTAGCTTACCTCCTGGGACACTTGGAGTTACAGTCTGTGATTTCAGATGATCTTTGGCTCTCTTCCCTGTGCTTCACCTCAAAGCAGGTAAGCAAAGAAGTGTTTTGTTTTTTTTCTCTATAGTGTCTGCATCCATCACCTCTCCTAAGGCTCACCTGTTGGCTAACAGGCCTTCAGGAAAAGGGAGGTGGTTCCCAGAGGGCCAGGGAGGAAAAGGTGGCTAGGAGCCAACATTCACATGTCCCCAGGACAGTACACAGATAATGCAGGTGGGGAGATTGATCCTTCACTACCTGACACACTGAGACCTCTTTTGAGTTCCCCATTCAGCACTGAATTGTCTAATGGGTTAGTTTTATGCCAGCTTGTCTGCAGCAGGAACAAAAGGCAATGCTAAGCTATGAACTGGACTCCTGTTTATGTTTTAGATTTGATATTAAAACCTGTGGATGAACGCTGTCTGATGTCAGATTTACAAGAAATGTCAAGTAAGAAATATCTCAGAATTGTGCTTATTACAATCCCGTACCATTACTTAGATATATTTTTGGAATTATAACTGATAAGACAATTCTGAAGAAAACTTTCCTTGCTTTAGGTAAAAATGTGTAAGAGAGGCAAAAAGACTAACAAACATGCAGAAACTGTGCTTGGCAAGGGCTAGACAGCACAGCCTGTCTTTGGAATTGGCTCCTTATTAGACACTGGCATCAAAAAATAACAAGGCATTGGGGACTGCTGGCTGGTAACACTGTGATGTTACCGAGTTATCCTATTGGACCCACTGTCAACCTCAAATGAGGGATTGCTTTGTCTGGCTTGCTTAAATGGAACTGCTGCAGTCCACAACTCATCAGAGCACAAGCAGCATAATTGCATATCACTGATTAATGATGGTCTTTATTACAGTTAGTAGAAGAGATGAGATTGGTTTTGTTTGGTCTTCTGGGTTTTCATTCCTAATTAGAAAACTTAATTATTAACAGAAAACTCAGTCACAGAACCTGGTTAAAAGTGGATCTGGAACACATGAAAAATGGTGTATTGAGACTCTGAGATATTGCCTACTTATGTCATGGTGACATCTCTGCTGGACAAACAGTCATGAAGTCACAACACTTGCAGGATGCTTTCCTCACCCACTCCCCTCTAGTAAAGGAAACATAAGTATGCTTCCCAAGAGCTGCAGGAACAGCTCTGAAATTCCCCCACATGAATCTCCAAAAGGAGAACAAGAGACAACACAGTTGACAAGTCCTGCCGTGTCCTGGCTACAGCAACAATGTTAAGCATGAGGTTTCTGAGCTCTAAGACTCACCCTCTTCAGCCATATCTTTATCCAGGACCAGCTTCCCATGACGGAGGAAATTCAGGATGGGTCCAAAGTAAGTGGGGTCCCGGTCTATTAGGTATGCACCAGTCTCATCCTAGCAGCAGAGATAAACCACGAGGAGAAAACACCCAAGGGAAATTTGTAACCAACCATCGAATGCCCTAGACTATAAGAAAATACAAATCTAAGCAAAAATGTCTACTATTTCTAAGATTCCTTGGAAACCTGAGAATCCCTAGCCAAGTCAGCCCAGCTTGGATTTTAACTCTTGTATTGATCTGCTCAGCATGCCCACCTCAGCAGGGATCAACCCAGTTGAAAAAGCCCAAAAATAGGCATCAGTCTCCTTGTGCAACTGTGCATACAGGCCTGGCGTGAGAGAGCAGAGATCCCCTAACAAGGGACGAGGCTGAGTCAGGCAGACACATCTGGGAAGTAGTCCCAGGATGTGGGGTGACAGAGAGGTAGGAGAGCAGGAACGGAGGGGAGATGGCCTCTCTTTTCCCCAGCTCCGGAAGACAGGTGCCAGGCAACAACACAGCAAGGTGGAATCTAGCAAGAGGAAATCTTTCCTGGGATAAAGAGCAGGCATTCCTCACTCAGTTGCTCCTGCAGCTATCTGGGTCTGGCTCCCTCCCTGCATCCCTCCAGCCCTCCCCATGCTCGGTGGGGCACGGTGCGGGAGGCAACCCAGCTGCCTTACCCGGTCCGATTGCAGCTCCTCGCCCTGGCACAAGCGACAGAGGAAAGATTTCTGCTCCCGACAAAGAGTCTGCCTGGTGGTGAGGAAGACAGTGCCCCCCACATTAAGCCTCACCCACTTGGCCTGGGTGCCAGCGGGTGGCGGGATGTCCCAGGTGCAGCGTAGCCCCACGGCGCCCTGCATCTCCTCCCTGCCCTCCATCCTCATCCTCACCCCCACCTCCCCCACGGCGTGCAGGGACTGCCGCAGGTGCTGCCTATCGGAGAATGCTGGGATCTGTAGTTTATCTGCCTCTCCCTCCGCAGCAGCCGTGTTTCTTGGGGGACAGGATCTTCCCTGTGACCACCAAGGGAATCCTGAGCGGAGGAAGGATGCGCGGTGGTGGAGGATAGCACTGCGGCTATTAGGGGTGGGCAAAACCACAACTCCACAACGCCGACACTTCCTGGCTTTTCCCCTGTTCCCGTTTTCACAAGCCAAAGGCAGGCCAACACTCCGGAGGTGCAGAGTGTTATGCAAAAATCGTCGGCATTTATTTCCATAGACATCCTCTCTGGCTCATTAAAAAGTTCTGGGAAATGTAGTTTCGCAGGGGGGTGCACAAAAGGGTGATGGGAACTGTAGTTTTCCCAGCTCGCTGTTCCTGCAATGAGGATGCTGTAACGAGGGGGGCTGCACTGCACTACCTGACCCCGGCTCTGCTGCTGGTACTCTGTCTGCTTCCAGTCCTTGGTCTTGTCTGCAAGCTTCCTCGGAGACGGGAAGAACAACCTGCTCCCTGGCAGTCAGCAGATTAAGCTCCTCAGAGCTGTGCTTCACAGCATTCCCTTCAGGAGATCCATTACCCCAGGCTCACAGCTCAGTGCTGCATCAGTTGCCATGCTTTCTTGCAGCAAAATACGCAGTGGCCTTCTTGCTAACATATGTAGGGACACTTCTGGGAACTGTATCCTGGATCTGCATGAAGCGCTGGCAGGGGTCAGGAATAATTTTTCTTCCAGCTCAAAAGAGTCACTGACTCAGAACACTTCCCCCATTGTGCTGCTCTACCAGCACAAACCATGACAGGTAGAGACCCTCCTGCATCCTTCTCCTCTGCTCCTGCCACCTCTGTGTCTGGGCTCAGATTTTAACTTAGCTCTGTGTGGAGTTTTACCTCTGCCCCAGGCACATATCACCCGCTGAGGCCTATGTGCCAATCCCACGGTATGGAATCTAGCCCTGCCTCTGTCACTCGCTCCTGCCAGGCCGAACTTGGCGCTCAGCAGCCTGTGCCCCATGGGACTCTGTTCAAACACATTCCTGGGCACAGACACAACCTGAACAAGCTCTCTCTCCGGCAGCTCTGCTTTTCCCACTCCCATCTAAGCACAGTCATGCTTGCCAGCAGCTTGAGCACACTAAGAATGGAAAGGAAAGGCCAGTGTTTCACCTCTATGTGGCCCAAAACCTTCCTTCACCTAAGTAACTTCCTAGCTCTTCTTTGCCAGGCAATGCAGCACTGCAGAAACACCACGGTGCCTCGCAGACACTTTATTGTTCTTGCATCTAGAACTTCGTGTCTTTTGGGGGGGATTATTGAGGGAAGAGGCTGTTTAAAGAGAAACATTATGTTTTACTCTTACATTCCTTTTCTTCTTGCTCTTCCCTCCTCTTTTACTTGAAAGTTACTTCCTTTTATTACTACAGGATATGAAAGCAGTGCCACCCTTCCCTAAATCATCCAGGGTTTCCTTCACAAAGACTGCACGTGTACTTTGCTCCTTCTGTGAAGGAGTGCAAAGAGGAGAGAGAGTATAACACGGAAAAGGTTTGAAGATTGCTGACCTTTAACTAATTTAAGCACAAGAACAATTCAGCTGCTCCAGGGGGTAAATTCAAATAATTTTTAACCAGCACTAGAGTGACGTATAGCGGAGAGAGAATGAAAAAATATTTTTGCCTACCTATATGGGGCAGACTCTGGCCAAAATTCATGCCCAGACCTTGGGCCAGTCTCCAATGAGCAATAATGTGCATCAAAGATTCTCAGATTAATACTGACCTGAGCTGAAACATCACACAGTGCAACACAGCTCTGGGCTGTCAGACTGCTGCTCTCCTAATTCTGGCTCCAAGTCAAACCTTGGCAAATTGGAGACCTCTGCCCTGGTGTGTAAGGAATCAGTCTGTACTGGCTGCAGCTCCAGCACAGAATTAAGGTGAGGTCTGTGGCTCTCCGATATGAATGCAGCAGTTGGGTAGCAGCCTACAGCCCCTTATCTCCCCCTCCAAGAAATCTGCCCTGCCCTAATTTTTTTCCCTCTTTTACCAACGGTTCACCCTCCCCTTTTCCTCCTCTCACAGCCCCTCACCCTCTTGCTCCCTTTTGGGTCCATCTTTTGCTCTCAACACCTTTTCCTCCAGCCTCTCCCATGACAATGCTGCTCATGAGTCCAGGATGGTCTGTATTCAGGGCACAATTTCTTCCATCAAAACCAGCCTCCACCTGTGGTTGACAGCTCAAGTCTTGCTTACTCTAGGGCCATGGGTTGAGCAGTTAATTGGTAAAGAGGTATATTGTGAATAAGGAAAGATGTCAATGAACACCACTTCCAATACCAGAACCCTCTCTTCTGCAACATACAGCACAAAACTTATTGGAAACTCACTGGGGCAGGGATTTCCCCACAGTATGTGGAAGTCCTCTTTAGGGAGAAGCCAGTCTGTGGTGAGTTACCAACTGAAATGCTCCAATGAGTTGGTGGTGTGGGCTAAATACAGACCTGATTGCACATCCTCACCAGACATAGTTCTGAGAAGCAACTAGCGTGCCCTTGTTAAGGTCCATTAAAATCAAGCAATAGAACACAGGAGAGGTAAGTTTAAATAATCGGTGGTGTTCAGTCAAAGGTTGGGCTCAGTGATCTTGGAGGTCTTTTCCAACCTGAAAGTTTTATGATCCTACAGCTGTTCCTCCCGCTTTGATGATAACTATATATAAAACACATCACAGAAACAGAAAAGAGCAAGCAAGAACTTACGTGGGGCTGTGTGATTGTGTAACACTGTAACACTGCTAAGTACCCGGTGAAATCACAGGGACCATTGCACAGACACACTGGGAGCAGGAAAAACTTGACAGCCATTGAATACTGGACTGAACAAGAGCAGAAGAGAACAGAGCAGAGGGTAAACTGAGAGTTTCTTGGTTCAGCAGCCAGCAGGCCTGCAGTGCAATCCTGCAAAAAGCTACACACACTGCAGCGCTCTGTACTTCCATTGCAGCCTGACAAGTCAGCTGTGCCCATGGCATATGATGCATCACTGACATTGTGGAGCTGCTCTTAGGGAATTGTTGTATTGTGGAGCGGCAGTGGGAGCAGGTATCGCCGTGTGTTGGCATGGACAGTGTCACCACTCTGACAGGCTGGGAATACATATCTGGGATTATGTGGCATGAGGAATCAAAGAAACCAGGAAGAATTAGTCAACACATCCATGTAGGATTGGTGCCACTCTCTTTTCTATAGGAAGCGGAGAGGGGAGGACAAGTAATGCTCTGACATTTTGCCATTAAGCCAACATGAACAGGCACAGAAAACAAAACTCCCTGCAATGGACTTGGATGTGGGAGGAACATAGTTCACTTGCAGACAGTAGAGCCTTGCTCAACAGCTAGCTGAGCCAGGCATATTGGAGCAGAGAGAAAGGCCCCATGGCATGCAGGTGAGCTAATCTTTCTCCAGCTCCTTGTGCTGCATGAGGTCTGTGAGCAATGTACCTTTAGTGTGTAAAGTCTGAGTGTATATGTGCATCACTCGGCACCTTTGCTGGACGAGTGCTGGGAGAAGGAGAGAGAATGGTCATGTAGCACCCGGTTGCAAGCTGGGACCAGGAGAGATGGGAGGAACATGAAAAATCCCTGTAAGTAACAGCAATTACCATTGCTCATGCAGGGGTTGGGACAGTGGTGCTATAAAGAAGGGCTGCTTTAGAATCTGAAAAAGTTCGCAAGGGAACAAAAAGTTTACTGGGAAATGAAGTGTGAAATAGTGCAACCTGACTGCTAGGCAGCAGTAGGGAAGAGGGAGGAAGGTAGGTGACAAAGAAGACATGTGAGGAACAGTGGACTGTGGGATTATTTTTGACCAGACCAGACTGTTTTCACAGAGTCCAAAACTCTTTCAGGACAAAAGTATTGCAGATAGTAAAATTTATCAATAAACCAATAAAGAGTTTAGATGCTGGCCTGAGATTCTCAAATTTGTATAGAGAGCTGTAAAAACTCCAGTCTCAAGTTAGCCACAGGTCAGTGTGACCTTCCTCCTACATCATGGCTGTTGTTTAGGCTACTTATTGGCCACCATGAGCCCTATTCCACCAAAGATATGCTATTCCCATTTCCCTGTGGCAAATTTTCCACAGGAAAGTAATGAATGTTAGTAATTTGCATTGTACCAACTTCTCCCCAGCTTTCAGTTCCCATAGGAAACCCACCCACTGAGTCAGGAACATAAAGATCTGTAGAACATTTATAGTCCTGGTGCAAGTCCCCTCAGCTGTTCCATATGTCCAGTAGCATCTGCTATGGCTCAAAATAGGTTTTTGCAGTCTCCAGGCTTTGAAAACATTGTCTTGGTCTTCACAACATTCCCAGCGCTTTGCCTGCATCACAAGAACAGCTCTCAGCTAAAGGAGGGAAAACATCGGAAGACACTCTTGGATAGATTTTTGATACATGATGTAACAGGGCATACCCCAGAAAGACAAAGTATCTTGCTGTGGGAAAGCAGTTCTCAATTTCTGCTCTGTGAGGAAATCAAGCCAAAGCTATGCATCTGGTAAAAGATTTGCCAAAAGCTGGGACACCGAAGAATCACCGAGACTACGTAGCACAAAATTCAGCCTGGAGAAGAGCGGTTGAGTATTGCCAACCTTGGCACACATACCAGAGAGGAGGAAGGGCCCTGCTAGATGTCATCCAGCCACACAGTCAAAATGTAGAGCAAGGGGAGAAGGAAACTTTTCATTTAGTTTGTGATCTCCAGATGGACGGATGGCCTGTGCCACACAGCTCCCTGAAACACAAACGACAGAGAAAAGCAGCTCAGTCTCAAGAGGAAGCAAAGAGATTCCCACTGATCCCAAGGACTGCTGGGTCAGTGGGAAAAAGAAACATAGTGCTTAAGCTGCATTGCCAAACATTCTGGAAGGACAAGCAAAAGCCAGCTCCCTCCACCCATTGCAAATGATTAACAAAGTATGAAACAATATGTCCATTTTCTCTAACAATTAAAATTTGCTGGAGAAACAGAGCCAGCACAGCCCTCTAGTTTGTATTTAGGAGTCTGGCCACATATTCACAAAATCAGTCTCAGTGTATACTAAAGGGTCACTTGTTTTAGACCCCTGTGCACTCTGGATACTCAGCACTTGCTGTAACACAAGCCCCAAGTCTCTGAACAGTTGGGTTGTTAGGCTGGCTGCAAGCAGGGAAATTGTGTGCTTTCAGTCACTGAGTAAAAAGAAGGGTCAGACCATATGTGTGAGTGGGGAGGACAGAGGAAGGAGTAAACTGGACAGTGAAACTCCTGCTTCCCAGGTGGTGAGCAGAAATAGAGTTTGCGTGCACGCAAGCCAGGAAGAAGCCAGAGCTGCAGCCAACAGAGACCAAAGGAAATGCAAAGAATAAACACTCAGGAAAAGGAAAGAATTCAATCCTTGCAATCAATGGCTAGGAGGGTACCCTGCAAATCTCTGACAATAAGCACCCACTGCATCTCCTAGAAAGGACAATTCTGTCATCCGTAGATATGTACAGGTACCTGTTGCTGCAAGCCCAAGAGACAGAACTTGTCTCATTAATTTCTAAATTACTAGTGAGATGCAGGCTTTTTTGTGGGAGGGTTCTATGGTTTTTTGATTTGTTTTTTTTTTTTTTTCTAGAGAAGATCCTAGAAAGAACAAATTCTTGAACGTTATCAGGGATACCTGGTGTGCTTTCAGCTTTCAGATATAAAAGACAATGGTCTTGGGGAAAAATAGGTGCCACTGTGGGCTATTCCTCTGTAGGTCTCAGTTCCCCTAAGCTTTTAGGGGAAGGTTACATGGTCTCATGGAAAGAATGAAAACATCCATGCAATCCATTTTCCACCGAATGAGGTGACATTCAGACTTGGAAGAAGAGAGCTGTAACTGACTAATGTTGACTTTCAGGCCAAGAAAGCAAATGGGCAAGGACTGAAAAGAGGAAGACAGTGCAAAGACCCAAAAGAGAGGCATGCCACTGTCTTTCCTGGATGAATGACCTTGTTGAGGGTAAGAGGCATAGTTCTACTCACAGAGAGAAGAAAATACCTCATTTGAATCATCAAGACAAAGTGATCCCATAAAAGCAGAGTTCCTGAAAAGGAATCATCCAAACAACACTCACAAAAGATCCATTCAGCAGAAAGACCTTGAAACATATGTTTATTTACATTCTTTAAATCCCAGAATCTTTTCTTTTTCTCAAGGGGGATTTGGGACCATGGGGGTACAAGGCTGGCTAAGTACACATTGCGGTTAGAGTCCAAGTAAAAGAAGAAATCCAAATTAAGTCTCTAGCCTAAGTGCCAACCTGAAAGCCATACTTCCTCCTTTTAACAGCCATGTCTTTCCACAAAGTTTTGAACTCAAAATGGCTATAAAGTGCATAGATGGCTTCTAGAACAGCGGCAGAGAGCTGGATTATGAGGCACAGTTATACAAGTATGACCATTCTATGAATGAACATGGTGGAATGTCCTGAGTCAGGAGCTTGGCTTGACTCAATTAATTCTCCATGCTGGCAGCAGCACTCTCTCCCTTCCATCCAATAGGGTAAAACAGGCACAGGATCACAGAATGGCAGAGGTTGGAAGTGACCTTGGGAGGACATCTGTTTCACCCTACCTGCTCAAGCAGGGTCACCTAGAGCTGGCTGCCCAGAACTGCTCTCATCTTTATTCTCCTAAGCAGCAACAGTAGGGTAAGGAGAAAGTGCCCAAGCACCATGTGCGCATAATTGTTATCCAACATCTTCAGCTCAAGACACTTAACCAGGAATGTTAAACCCCTTTTCCAAATCCTGTTTCAAGGTACATTACCTGCACAGCTGGGAGACAAAGCAGCTTATTACACAGTCTTCCCCTTTCCCTCAGAAATAATATTTTCAGGCTGTGCCCGCATGTACCATTCCACCCAGGCCCCATCGTACACTGCAACATCTGGTTTGCCACAGAGGTATGCGCCCAGAACCACGTGGCAGGCAGTGACCCCAGAGCCACACGTGGCTACCACCGGCTTTGAGAGGTCCACCTTCTTCTCCTGGAACAGAGTGCGGATCTGCTCAGGGGTCTTCTCTAAGCCAGACTCTGTGAGGAAATCAGTGAAGGGGATGCTCGTCGACCCAGGGACATGACCAGGCTCAATTCCTGGAGGAAAAACAATACAGATAGGAATTAACCTCTACTGTCTGGGACAAAGCTATTGCAAAACCTGCTCTGTTTCACTGGGAGGAATATTTATTGTTTAGTGTATTTTGTTAAAACAAAAACAGTTATTTTTGTTAAACTTTTCTTTACTAGATTACTGATTACTCAGGAAGGATGGCTCTAACCCTCAGGTTACCACATGGACACAACCACATCTTTCTCCCACATCTTTCTCCACATCAGAGCAACCCACATTGATGAAGCACTTCCACAGGCTGATCTGAGGCGAAGAGCAGCACCAGTACATGGAGAGACCAATTAATATCTTTCAAGGTGTATGGAAAGCTATGTTCCTCATTCCAGCCTCTCATGGGAAAAAAAAAATACGTGACTTCCCCACTCCTGAATTTTCAAAGAGTAGCACTTGCTAGTCAAAAGGAGAGGAGGACAGGTGGACACACTGCCTCAAGTCCCATACCATAAGGGACAACCATATTCATTACCTCTACAGGAGTCAAAGTGATGGGCACCTTAAATAAAGACCTTTTTTAAAATGTCAGTGTCTCAGAAGGCACATTACCATCTCGGGGCTCTGGCTCTACTCCCCGGAACCGTCCTGCAGCACGGGCATCTACTAGTTGGAAGCGACGGGAATCCAAGTTATCTAAGACATCCTCATACGTTTTCACCAGGGACTTGTCCAAGGAGGCGTGGAACTCGCATGGAGCTACTTGGGTTTTCCCAGAGCTCAGCGCATTCCCCTCTCGCTTCCAGTTCTTCAGGCCACCATCCAGAAGGGAAACAGCTTCATGACCGAAGACCCGGAACATCCACCACACCCGGGGCGCTGAGAAGAGACCTTGGTCGCTGCCATCATACACCACAACATGGGAATCATTCCCCACACCCAGCTTCCCCACATATTCGGCAAAGTCACTAGCCTTGGGCAACATGTGATCGTAAGGTGAGGTTCGGTCGCTGCACTGGTCAATGTCAAAGAAAACTGCACCAGGGATGTGGTGCTCCTCAAACTCCCTCTTTGGGTCACGCTTCATCTTTGGCAAATACCAGGATGCATCCACGATTCTCAAGGCCAGCCCAGCTTGCTGGGACTTGATGGCTTCTGAAAGCCATTTTGCAGACACCAGTGCACGGTAAAGGAGTTGTTGCGACATCACTCCGGAGTCTTGGTCGAGATTAGCCAATTCCTGAAGTCTGCCTGAATCCACCTGTCTGCAAAAGGTAGAAAGTCAAAAATTAGAAACCAGCCTTTCAAAAAGCAAATGGACTAAGATTCATGTTGGGACCTCTGGCTGCACTGAGGTGCTGGCTAAGCCTACGACGAGGAGCTTGAAGTACTCCAGCCCTGAAAGTAGTTTCACAGAGCTCAGCCCAAACCCTGCCCCGAGCGGGACAGCCACGGCAATCCTGCCCTGCGCCCAGCTCACCTGGCCCCTCCACCTCCAGGCACCCCAGCCAGCGCTGACAGCAGCCAGAGGGGCGTGGGGCAGCCCCAGAGACCGAGTGTCCTGGGGCGAGGCACGGCCCCACGACCAGGAGGGCTCTGCCCCACGGCTGTGCCCGCCCCGCAGCACACCTGCAGCCGGGGCCCCGCCGCCTCCCTCTGCGAGCTCCCCGTCCCGACGGGGCCGCGGTTCCCTCCGCGCCGCCCGTACCTCCGCGCTGGGCCTCAGTGCCCGCCAGCCATGGCCGCTGCCGGAGGGCGGGAGCGGGAGCGCTCCCAGCGGGCCGGTCCCGGCGCCGCCACCGCCTCCGCGCCGCCCCTCGGCCGCGCCTCCCGCCCGCGGCCCTGCCGCCATTTCGTGCGCGTGTAAGGGTTGCGGGGTCCCGGTCGCGGCGCCCCCGCCCGTCCCTGGAGATGGCGCGGCAGGGGCTTAGCCGGGCGCTGGTCTCCGCCGCCTGGCTGTCGGAGGCGGTGCGGGCCGGGCGGGTGGGGTCCGGCCTGCGGGTGCTGGACGCCTCCTGGTACCCCCCGAAGGAGCGAAACGCCCGTCAAGAGTTCAAAGAGAGGCACATCCCCGGGGCGTCATTCTTCGACATCGAGGAGTGCCGGGACAAGTCCTCCCCCTACGACTTCATGCTGCCCAGCGAGTCCCACTTCGCCGACTACGTGGGGCGGCTGGGTGTCAGCAATGACACCCACGTGGTGGTGTACGACGGGGACGAGGTGGGCACTTTCTACGCCCCCCGCGCCTGGTGGATGTTCCGGGCCTTTGGGCACAAGGAGGTCTCTGTGCTAAACGGTGGCTTCAAGAACTGGGTGAAGGAGGGGCACCCCGTCACGGCAGAGGTCAGCCAGCCCACCCCTGCTGTCTTCAAGGCCAGGCTAAATAGAGCCCTGGTGAAGACTTTTGAGGAGATGGTACAGAACGTGTCGTCCATAAAGTTCCAGGTGGTGGATTCCCGCCCTGAGGGCCGGTTCCGGGGGACCGAGCTGGACCAAGGTAATGGAGGTGGGAGCGGCATCTGCCCCAGAGCAGGATGAGTGTCAATACTAGTCTGGGTGTAACAGCTCCTGGCAGCTGGCAAACAGATTTTCCTAATGCACAGGCATGCCTCACCCTGACTTGTTGATTTACCTTAAAGGATCCGCAGTTGAGCGTTCAGATCCCAGTGCCATCACAGAATACTTTTGTTGCAGTTGGCTATAAAGCTGTAGGAGGAAATAGGAGAAGAGGGCTGCAGTCATTTGGTTCCAAGATCCTCCATCCCACACACTGCAGAAGTTTATCAGTCAGAATGCAAACATGAGAGCTAAGAGCTCCCAGGGGATTGTTCAGGGTCCTATCTACCACCAGCAGACACACAAAAACTATCAGTATTCATACAGGCACCTCTCACCATAATGAATGCACCAGCAAAAGCCAAGGTTTTAGGTAATACAATAACCCAAGGGACATTCTTCTTATCGCTCTGATTCCCAGCAAATAGATAACTTGCCTGAGCTGATCTTTGTTCTTTGGCTTAACTAAGAAAAGCCCAAAACCTTTACCAAATGTATGGAGTGTCAGCCTCTCTCTTTTGGATGCCCCAAGTTACAGGAACAAAAATTGATTTTGTTACCTTGGTCAAACACTGGATGCACAAGCAGCAGGGGTGGGAGAAATCCTGCGCAGTGGGGTCAGCTGGTACAGCAACGTGCCTGGAATGAAATTCAAGTTGGTTGGTAAAGGAGACCCTTGCTGTGTAATTTAAGCCTTGGTATATCCCAGAATAACTTCTCCAAAAGGGTGTAAAAGAAACTTCCCTGACTGACCGTTCCGGAGGCACTCCAGCAGTCACACTCCCACAACCAGAGACTTTACCTGCTGGAACTAAAGCCCCTTTGCAGCAGGCAGCTCCAGTGAACCAACAGGTGCCCTGCTTGACCCCTTACACATACCACACTCACACAGGTTTTCCTTACCGGCTCAACCCTGGGTTTCCCTTAGCAAAGTCTCAAAAGCCTAGTTCCATAAAGCGTAGTAACACAGAAACGGTTTGAGCTGGTGCCTCCGAGGAGAGAGCACAAACAAAGGAAATACTGGACTTTCATACCTTCACAGCCTAAGCATGACAAAGTCTTGGCTCTTCCTCCAGTGTCCTCCGTTCCTGCCGTGTCTCTGAGTGTCCGGTCGCCTGGCTGGCACCACAGCTCCCCGTGCCCTTTTTTGTGCAAAGGATCAGCGCCAGTTCATGGCCTCTTGCCTCGGGCTTCCACCACCCAGAGCTCAACCTGCAGCTGACACTGCAGCTGCACATCAAGCTACCTGCACTGAATGCATTCCTCAGTAAGGGAATCACAGAAATGGTTTAAAAAAGGAATGCAGAGGTTTTAGAAGAAAGCACAGAAAAGCTCAGCAGCAGCTGTTGAGTCTGAGCAGAGCCCAGTGCTGCTGGAGCCGGCATGCTGTGGGCTTCTGCAATCCCCAGGCAGTGCTGCACTGCTGCCCTGCAGGTTGTTGGCATTCTGTTCTGGCTGTTTACTTAGTGTGTGCTGCTGTACAGCCAGTCAGTGTGACACCATGTCCTGAAATAAATTCCTGCATCCGCACCTCAGGAGTGTTTGGCTGTAAATGACTCTGCACGTGGTTTGCCCAAATGTCTCCAGTGAGACAAGTGTCTGTGCAAGACAATGTGGAAGGTGAGAAAGGTAATGGGAGTGATAGAGGACAGTGTTGCAGGGTGAAAGGGGGAATTAGGCTTATTCTATTTCTGTAGACAACAGGTTAGCATTAGCAAAGGCATATAGTGCTTTTGGAAAACTCCATAAAAGAGTATGGCATAATAAACACTTGAAGAAAAGCACCAGGATCAGTGTTTACAAAGCCATAGTGCTGTCCACTCTCTTATACGTTCCGAATCATGGGTCGTCTACCGCCACCACCTGCGTCTCCTAGAACGCTTCCATCAACGCTGCCTCCGTACAATCCTAAACATCCACTGGTCAGATTATGTGACCAATACATCTGTTTTAGAACAAGCAGCAGTCACTAGTATTGAGGCCATGTTGCTGAGAACACAGCTGCGTTGGGCAGGACGTGTCTCCGGGATGAAGGACCACCGCCTCCCTAAGATCTTGCTTTACGGTGAACTTGCCTCTGGATGCCACAAGAGAGGAGCCCCGAAGAAAAGATACAAGGACTCCCTGAAACAACATCTCAGCCTCGGCCACATTGATCATCATAACTGGTCTACTCTGGCCTCAAATCGGGAGGCCTGGAGACACATCATCTATAACGCTACCGTTTCCTTTGAGAATGCACGCAGGATCACCCTCGAGGAGAAAAGACAATGCAGAAAGAATCGTATCCTGCTGAATACACCACCTAAGGAGTCTTTCTGCTGTGCCTTTTGCAATCGGATGTGTCTGTCTCGTATTGGCCTCATAAGTCACCAGCGTGCCTGTAACAAACGTGGATAGAGCCTTCCTAAATCTTTGTTTGCGAAGCCTAGCCGTGATTTCTACATTCTACTTCTTCGCCTACCGCAGCCCATCAAAGTGAAGGTTGCATTTTAACCCCAAGATGTGAGTAAAATGCTCCTTGCTGGGAGCTGGTGGATTTTGTGTTCCCATTCCCAAAGCGGGGGTTGTCACCAGGTGACAAATACCACAGCCCCAACAGCATCTCCAAAACAGATTTTTCCTTTGAAATGAGTCAGCATGAAACAGTTTATTTGAGGTGGTCCAGTTTTGCTTCCCACAGCAGATCCAGCAGGATAAGCTCTCCAGCTGCAGCTGCTGGTTCCACAGGAGCTTGACAGCCTTCTGGACCAGGCTATCCAGTATCTGAGCATCAGCCAGCATCATCTGGGTAAAAGACAGCGCTTACACCTAAAAGAGCAATTTGAAATCAATGCTGATTAATTGCAGGGGTCATCAAATCAGGGAGGGTGCAATTTAGAGAAGAAAAATGGTCATCAGGTTAAGGAACTTGGTGCCTTCTCAGGTGATTTCAGTTTAATTATTGCCTCAGCTCTTGACTTCCTAATTAAGTCAATTAATCTCTCCAGCTCCGTGAACTCCATCTCTAGAAGAGGCTAATTGCAGCTGATTCTTTTACCTCTTTGGTTTTTCAGTTCTTTGTGGTAAGAATTAATTGTTCCCATTTTATTTTTATGCAGCAGCTACCTTGCTGGGATTAAGACCTCTGTAGCGGTAAAGATAAGCCATAATACATGGCTAATTTTTAGTTGCTGGGAAAAGCTTACCTCAGTTGCCCAAGTGGAGAAAAAATGGATGTTTCTGTAAGCCAGGTCTCATAGGTCTTAAATGCAGGTGTTGCTTTGGTTGTTCGTGCGTGGTGTGCAGCATAAGCCTGTCAGATGTGCAGTGCTGACCTACGCACCGAGTAGTTAATGGTGTCCCTGCACAGTGCTGTGTTTCTGGAGGAACTAACGACCCAGAGGCAGATGATAAAAGTAATTACATGATGGTTACCAGTGCTGGCCCTCTCTGAGCGCTGGGCACTGAAAACTGATGAACAAGAATTACAGCTAAACAAATGCATACAGAAGAGTTGTGAATTTCTGCATTCCTTTGCACACATCTGAGAAAAGAGGGGAAAGTTGCCAGGCAAGAAGTCCATCCTCTAAAAAAGAAAGCAAACCCAAAACAATTTCATGAGCTTCTATATGCTTTTCTTCTCATTCTCAGCCCTGGGGTTGTCCTTATCTCTCTTCTGCATACAGAACTCTTCAGATTTTGCCCATTTTCCCAGCTCTCAGTCCTGCCTCCCCCAAACATAAAGCTTTTGCTCAGCTTGAACGTTCAGTGGGAGTGAGAGTGAAATGTAGCTTTTTTTCCCCTCTCTTCTCCAAGAGGAGTCTGCAGCTGGGAGTGGGCTGGCTCTACCTTTGCCATGTAGTAATACTTGAGGCACAACAATGGAGAGTGAGAGACTTTATCAAAGTCTGTTTCAACCCACAGGAACCTATGAGGACTCTCAGGGAGCAGGCCAGGACCAAGCCTAAAGTGTTCCTTACAATGTGCTCATTGTAGATTAGACAAGATCAGTAATTGTCCCTTCCAGGAAATACCATTTGATGGAAGAGAGAGATAAACAAGTGAAGAGGTCAATAACTAACAACCCCAGGTTTGAGGGTGAAAACTGGAATATTTATTGAACACACGCTTCACAATATAAGGGTCTTGGGGGCAGGACATGTTAATGAGGAGGACGGGTTATGCTAACTAGGGGATGGATTATGCCAACTAGAGGATTACACAATTTTCTGCTACAGTTACACGGTTGGTTAATGTTTTCCCTTAGCTAGGACCACATGGGGAAAACAACAAAGAGGTTTCCACGTGGTCTGATAACATCATCACAAAGTCTTTCCATATCTTGCTGAAGGAGACATGGCAATCAACATAGTTAAATATCAATAGGTCTTGTGAGGAAGTTCCTCAGAGTAAGGAGTTTCTCCCAGCTCCTGCAGTCCATGGCCTGCTACATAATCCTTTTCTGCTGATATGTGAGTTTCAGATTGCTACAAACAAGGAGGCAAGAGAGGAAGCATTTGGAAAAGAACAGCTATCTGCAGCCAGCACACTCGAAAAACCACAGGGAGTTAAATATGGACAGAGCATATCTTTTACCTCTTTGACATTAAAAAATTCCATCTGGAGCTTTCATCGCAAAGGGAAGGCTGGAGAGGAGGGGCTGTAGTCTTAGCTAGATAAATAGCCAACAATAAAAACTACATGTAAGCAGAGAGTCTAACAGATGTGGAAAAGGGGATTAAGTATTGAAGAAGATAACATATTACAGGTTACAAATTGTGAGGAAGGATTGCCAGACACCAAGCTGAGTGAGACTTGGCAAAAGGACTTAAAACAAATACAAAAACTTCTGGAACAAAGTGAATAAAAAGAGAACATGGAGAGAAAGAAAAAATGAGGTTGCTATGCAGTTAGCAGGGGTTCCAGGTAAAAGATTATTTGTGTATAGTCTCAGGATTATACTGAGTCTTGAGTCTGTGCTACCGTGTTTTCTTCTATCCTAAAGATAAGTCTTCAGAAGGAGAGCAGAAATAAGGGGAAATAAGTTTAAATTATTATTTATAAAGAGAGAGTGTAACCAGAAGATATCCCCATGCTCAAATCTGTGAGGCAGCTGATCTCTATCCCAGATATGTGTCAAAAATGAGTTGTGTGACATTGCAACTCCATGAGGCAAGAATTTGATACGTTTAATCAGAGAATGGTTCTGTAGGACAGAAACACTAGCAAAGGGCGTATTTTGGATAGGAGATACAGCACAATCTAGTCAGCTGTTGGGCTATTACCCGAACATGGATAGACTAGAAGGCTTTCAAAAAACACTTCAAGAAAAATTATTTTAAATGCAGGCAAATTTGAGTAAAATACCTTGGTAAACACTCCCTGCAGCCAAGGGCTTTATTTCCTTACCGGCAGAATTGATTGGCTAGATAAGAAAAATGGGAACATGCATGTCTAGAAGTTATGTCTGATCTTTTCTTTCAGCCATTGGAAGCACCTACAAGGTAGCGTTGTTCCATTTGGACTTCATTAATACTTTGGACATGACATTAGAGAGGCAGTTATTAGTTCAATATAAGGAGACGGCCAATAGCACAAGTACTGTTAGATTTTTAAAAAATTTGACTGGAAAGTAGATAAGGGAGATAAGCTTATACTGAAAGGAGATCTGTGGGGCTGGAATAATGGGCCAACATGGTCCCATTATTATGCTTCTGTGTTTTATTTCATGTTTTTCTGAATCATCAAGGCACTGAAAATAGGGGGTTGCTATTGAAATGTGCTGCTGGCATAGCCTTGGGAAGGTCTTAATGGTCATATGGGGAGTATTATGAAGTGGCACCTGCAAATATAGAAGTGACAGGAAGTATAACACTATGCAGAGTTGGGTGCTTAGTAGCCCAAAACACTTAACTACTTATGTTTGTCTTACAAGCTGAAGACCCACGTTTGGAAGCAATAGAAGATGATAAGACTTGAATGCAAGAACCTCAGATGCAATTTAACCTTGGTAATAGCAATCATTAACCTCCTGTCTACCAACTGTGATGCTAGGAAATGTCACTTCCTTATCCAGAAACCTAGTGGACACCTAGAACTGTTCCTAGGGTGGCCAAAGCAGAGAAAAGCATATCTAACAGGCTCTTACTGGGTTTAGGCTGAGGACATGAGGTTGTTGAGAGTACTGAGGGCTTGCCATCAGTCTACTGGAGCAATAGCAGAAGGGGGAAAAGACTATTTCAGCTGTAGGGCAGTGTTAGCTCAAGGATAAATGGTGTATGGACTGACCGTGATGAAGTAAATATTGAAAATCAATATTCCTCCTCACATGAGCAAGGAGGTGCCTCAGTGGGAAGTTTCGTGACAAGAATCCAAACTGTCCGAGATAGATGCTTTTTTTGAGAGGGAGCCTATGAAGTGATCACTGTAGTAGCTGGGACCCAGGCTCTCTAGTCCTAGTCTTCCTTTCTGGAGTTTCTAAGGGTGACTGCAGGAATCTGGCATGGAGTATGCTCTGTCTGAGGCAGGAGCAGATGTATCCTCTCCCCTGTTAAGATCCCAGCTGCATCCAGCGTTGCCTTCCAGACCTGTGTTTCTCTGCTCTTGACCTAGCAGAGAGAGATGATGAAACTTTCTCAACCACTCAAAAGCACTTCTTAGGCAGCCCAAGGGATTGTGGTTGTGCAGTTTCAGCTCTATCTTTCAGCTGAACACCCACATAGATGAGTAAATGCAGTTTCTACAGAATTCCCCATCTTTCAACCGCAGAGTGCAAGCACTGGTCTCTGACTCCAACAGAGTTTTGAATCTCTGGAGCAAGGAAGTCTCCCTATAGATCAAAATCAAAACTGCTCTAAAATGAGAGTGTTCTTTTCAGATCTGCTCAGCTCCTACCCAAAGAGTTCTTTAAGGGTGATGAGTTGTCACAGCAGTCTCCAATAAGAGAGGGGTACAAACCTATTTTAAGGTGTGTGAACAGGCTAGACAGGTGATAATGACCGTGGTACCTGGGACACCTAGGACCTGAATCGATGGCCCAGCAAGCTTCTTTGAGTAAGAGTTCCCTGTGAGCAAGAGTTCTCTTCTAGTTCAGCCTCCAGGACTTCCTGATCTCAGTTCGCTTCCCAGTGCCCTAGGATGGTGTGAGAGCATTGTTCTGTGATTCACAGACTTGTCTGTATTGGGGCGATCACTGGTACTGCAGCAGAGCCCCGCAGAAATCCCTTGCTGAATGACGGGGTCAGGAGCATTCACTCTGTGGGAGACTGGTAGCCTAACCCAGGCTTTCTCTAGTAAGGAGCTTTGCAGTCTGAGAACTACATACGACGTTTTCTCACACTCAGGTTTTATTTCCTCTCTGTCATACAGACGCTATATTGATAAGTGAGTTTTGCAGTTCTCTGTACTGAAGTGATAAACTGTTGTTTTCTGAAACTGGAAAAATGTGGTGAGAGCATCGGTCCAAAATACTGTCTCTAATTTTTTTTTTCCTTTTTAGATGTTAGTCCCTGCAGAAGTCAGCGGTTTTACTCCTGACTTCTCTCAGTAATGCTAAACACTTCTGAAGGATGCATGAGGTGACTACTAGACAACTGTGCCATATTTCTAAAGCACTTAGGGTGGATGAATCAAGAGACAAAGAGGAGCCATCTGGAGTAGGGAGAGAACTTGTGAAGCTGACTCAGGACATCTTTTGTTGTCTTTAGGCTCTGTCTTTGTCCAGCAGAGCAAAGTTCCCCTCCTCGACACGCTACCAAAGCCCTGTTTTCTCTATGTGATATATCTCGTCATGTCATGACATCAGTCTGTGTGAATGATGAGACTGCAGTGTCATTATGATGTGTGATGTCAATCTCTGACTAGGTATAGTTTAGAATCATTTGTGACAGGTTCCCTGCCCCAGTCTCTTCTCCTGACATCAGTTACCCTGGTGACTTGGGCAACTGGAAGGCTGTCAGTGAAATAGATTACTATGTAAGTGACTTTCTCAGGGTTGTCTCATTAGAAGTTCAAACCTAGCAAGGAATCATTCCCCAAAATGCATTTTCAACGTAATATATAGTGTTTCTGGCTCCAGCAAAGCTTGATCCAAAGCCTCTCAAAATCAGTGGAAAAGCTTCTATTGATTAAGCCTATAGTGACAGAGTTTGTATTTGAAGGGCATGATGACAACCTTATCCATCATATTTTTTAATCTGCTTCTCTCTAAAGACTTCATTTTGAAATGCAGCTTTCAACTTGCCTGAAGTGGTCAGCTATACCAACAGAAAAACATAACCCATGCTGATTTCATCCATACAGTGGATAAAAAGTGATACAAAATCTGACTTCTCATTTCTCTGACCCCATTGTCCCAGGACAGCTGCCTCAGCAATAATATAACTGACTTTAAAGTTGCTTTATGATTTACTGTGATTTCTGTTATTTACTTTTCTGAAATATGATTTTAAGGTGACACAGAAATAAACTGTGAACATATAACTGCTTTCACAAATTCCACGTAGAGACCATGCTTCCTGCTTCTGAAAACTGTTTCTATGCACTGCTAGCATACTTGGAGAAGCTCAAAAATGCTCTGCTGCATTCATCTTTACATAGATGCCTATAATGCCTTTGTTAGGGCTTTTTCTGTGTTGGTTCTTTGATTCCTGTCATGTCTAGGGCTTTGTCATATTTCTACTTCTCATTGCTTTCAGTGGGGAAAGAGTTTGCTAAATATTCTGGAAGCTTTGACTTAGCAAAGTTGAATAATCGTTGTCCTCCTCCTTTTAGCCCTGTGCTGCTTTACATCTTCATCATCAAGTGAAACAAACGAGTCTGTTGGAGAGAGTGAAAGTATCTTCAGTGATGCCTCTTTAATATCTCTTTCTTGAACATCTTTCACCACCTACATTAATGTGTCCTTGCTCACATTTCCTTTTCCTGTTTACTCTTGCAGGGCTGGAATCCGGTCACATCCCTGGTGCTGTGAACATACCCTTCCACTCATTCCTATCTGAAACCGGACATGAGAAGAGTATTGAGGAGATCCAAGAAATATTCCGTGCGAAGAAAGTGGACCTCTCAAAGCCACTGACGGCCACATGCCGCAAAGGTGTCACGGCGTGTCAGATTGCCTTGGCAGCCTTCCTGTGTGGCAAGCAGGACGTGGCTGTTTATGATGGTTCCTGGTCAGAGTGGTTCCACCGTGCCCCACCACACTACAAGGTCTCTGAGGTGAAGCGCAACAAGGCCTAGAGGGAGAACTTTGTCTTGGGCAGTGAGATCTAGCAGCTTTTTCCAGCTCAGAGTAAAGCGAAAGGGAGGAGATAGAAGTAAGGAAAAAATATGCTGATTTGTATTTTGCAAATTTTTCAAAGAATGATTGGTAGATTTCTATTAATCTTCTGGGTTTTCTCAATTAATAAAATCTAAGATGATGCATCTGTGAATATATTGAACTCTTCTCTGTTACCTGTAACATGCTTGTGCTGAGTGGGAAAAGCACCTTTGCAACATGAAGGAGAGTTACACAATTCCCTGGAGACTTGCAGAAATTCCAGTGGCCTGATGAGAGTTCAAGTCAGGAGCAGGATGAATGAAAAGTCAGGGGCTAAAATATTGGACTGGATGCGGGACACGGGAGGGTCATTAACTCAATGTAAGACTTTTTGCCAGCCCAATCTCTTCCCATTTGTAATGTGGAAAATGGGGGTACCTTCCATATGCCAACTAGATCCAACCCATCAGGACGTGTGTTACCTTGCTGGCATTCAGGTAAGGCACATCACAGAGGAACTTCCCAGCCCACTGATTATTACTTCTACTGGTTTTCCAGATAGGCAGCATTGAGATCCCAACAAGAAGGCTGCAAACAATCAAGAGGGACCTCAGGGTCTTGGCTCAACAGATCAAGGGATCTGGAGCACAAGTTGTGTCCTCTTCCATCCTGCCAGTTGCAGGGAATGATGGGGCAAGAAACAGGGAGATCATGTAGAGGAATACCTGGCTTTGAGACTGGTGTTACCAGCCGAGTTTTTGTTTTTTTGATCGTGGGTCAGTCTATACAACATGGAGCCTGCTGACAACAGGGTCGTCAGGGGGTCGTCCTGTCTCAAAGGGGGAAAAGGATCTTAGCTCAGGAGTTAGAAGGGCTTATTGAGAGAGCTTTAAGCTAGATTGGAAGGGGGAAAGGGACAAAACCAGGCTTGCCAGTGATAAGCAATGGGGTGGCATGCCAAAACTTGAGGAAGTAAGATCCCTCGGTCTGCTCCATGAGGTGTCAGCTACGATGAACCACACTCAAAATGTTTCTACCAATGCATAAAGCATGAGGAACAAACAAGCAGCTTGAACCTTTGACCCAGTCCCAGAGATACGACATCATTGGCATAAATGAAACTTAGAGGATGAGTCCTGTGACTGAATGTTGGATGTTTACAGGCTCTTCAGGAGGGATAGGCAGGGCAGGCGAGGTTGAATATGAGTCAGCAGTGCCCTGGCAGCCAGGAGGGCCAACCTTGTCCTGGGGGGGCCTCAGGCAAAGCATCGCCAGCCGGTCAAGGGAGGGGATTGTTCCACTCTGCTCTGCACTGGGGCAGCCTCACCTTGAATATTGTGTGCAGTTTTGGGCACCACAACAATGTTAGGGAGCATCCAAAGGAGGGCAACAAAGATGGTGAAGGGTCTAGAGGGGAAGCCATATGAGAAGTGGCTGAGATCACTTGGCTTGTTCAGCCTGGAGTCTACAACTTTCTCTTGAGGGGAAGCGGAAGGGCAGGCACTGATCTCTCTGGTGACCAGTGACAGGACCTGAGGGAATGGCATGAAGCCATGTCAGGGGAGGTTTCGGTTAGATATTAGGAAGAGGTTCTTCGCCCAGAGGGTGATCCATCACTGGAACAGGCTCCCCAGGGAACTAGTTATGGCACCAAGTCTGACAGAGTTCAAGAAGCATTTGGGCAACATTTTCAAGTACATAGTATGATTCCGGGGGCTGCCCTATACAGAGCCAGGAGTTGGACTTCAACAATCCTATTGAGTCCCTTCCAACTCAGGTTATTCTACGATTCTGTGATTCTCCTTCCTCTCTGACGAGGGTCAGGAGCTCATGTGAAGCATTTGGAGATGCTAGAAGATCCAATTCTGCTGACATACAGTCTTGTTGATTATCATGACTGTGTTAGGAGAGTCTCCAAGAAATCCTGTGTGTGATGTGAACTTCTGGGTACAGGTATTTCATGAGACATGGACCTTTTACTCTGCTCCTTGTTTGTTTTTTCAATCTGCCAGGATAATCCTTTACACCATGTGGATTCTGTTTCCCATGGAGGTGGAGCTCATAGCTCATAGAAGGAGGGAATGCTGTTCCCCAGCAACTATCTCCACTCTTCAGCTTCCATCCCACCTCTACACCTGGACTTCAGCAGGACCTGCCTGCTTGTACAAATCACTGTGACATCACCAGGGATCATGGACCAGGTGAGATAGGTAGTTATGGAAGAGGCTTTTCCTCTTGGTAAATCATGGATCGTTCCTTTAAAAAAAAAAAATCCAGTCTCATTTTGACATTCATGGGGCTCCTCAGGTCTGAAAAGTCAATGAAACCTCCTCATATTTTGGAGACCCAGTCAAATGTGAAAGGCATGTGAAACCACTCTTGGCCACACGTGGTGGCTGGTGAGAATGGCCAGTTCCTACACCTATCTGAGGAGGTTAGTTTTCTGCCTCAAAAGACAGCTCCCTCTTCCTCCAAGGCTGTATGTCAAGAAAGTCAGTGTTAGGCTATGCTAAATCTTTCGTTCAGAAAGAAAGATCAAGTTTAACCATTTTTAGCTCTTTGATCAAGATATGTCTTTTCTGATTGATTGTCTATTGCCCGTCACAGGATTGGCTTAGCAAAGGAATAAGACATACTTCTTGTGACTTCTGTTATTGAGAAGGATGGTAAAATGGCCTTAAAGTCCTTCTTGGCATCAAGATGTAGGAGTCTCTGAGCGGTGCTTTGACTTTGGACCCTTGGGGTCAGAAGCAAAACAAGAAGCATGACAATAACATCATATACAGTTACAAACTAGAAAGTAGGAACAGTTTCAGGCTTCAGTGTCATTTTGTCCGGGAGTAACTGGGAAAAGGAAAGTTATTGATGAATGGGATTTGGGAAATAGGCACATTGCCTCACTACACAAAAATTCTACTTTGTTGGAAGAAATGGGAGAAGAGGAGGAATTTCTACATCAGCAGACTGTAAAGTTCTTTCCACTGAATATAGTAATAATAACAAACAGACCTGGTTTTGTTTTACGTAGGAGGTGGAAGTTAACACAGCAGTTTATTTAGCAGCACAGATTCCTGCACTTTGATCATGTGTAACTGTATGGTTCTTCTTTAAAAAGAATCAACAGTGATAGAGAAAAGAAGCAGATTGTGCCCTGTGAGTTAGGACTGGCTTCCTCTCTTCATCTCTTGTGGCCCTGTTCTTTTTGTGGAAGAGGATCTGTCCCTTAATACCTTTGCAGAGCATGCAGCACTGACTCCTGGAGTCTGACTGATACAGTAACTTCAGCTTCAGGATCCCAATATCGTATAAGACATGCCGCTGCAAAGAAGTGGCACAGTGTAAAACCCAAGCTGGTGGTGGTTCAGGTCAGCCCTGGTGAAACACTAGGCTTCCTACCCCTCTGGCTGATGTCTTCATTCCAATGACTGCCTCAAGAACAGAAGGTAAGCCAGTATATCATGTCCTGAGCTAATTTAACAAATCCAAACATACATCCCTACCTGATCCAGATCCCATTTGAACTGCTGCTAGTGCCAGCAGACTCACAATTACCATATTTATCACCATGGGCCATGGCTTCAGTTTTAACAGCACTGAGGGAGACTCAAGGATAGACCCAGGTCTCGGGGATTAATCATAGCTCAGAGAGCTATGCAGGGGCGGAAATGCCAGGAGTTTGCACTTAGGAAATGTGGAATGACAGTGGTTCTCTGTTGTTTGTGTTTTCAGCAACATCAAGCTCAGTGCAATGCAGATTTAGACACAGGACAGAAAAGACTCACTAACTGTACTGAAGTGACAAAAAAGTCCTTGGACTGGACATCTCTTTCAGATTACGAGCAGCTGGGTTACAACCTGAGATCAAATCTCTTCCAAGGTGAGGGGACACACATGCCTATCCCTGACCTTCAAAGCTGATTCCATCTACGCTTTGCCAGGAATCAGGGCAGCCACATTGCTATGTGCAGACATCTGACTATAGGTGATACTCACTTTCTCTGCTTATTCCTTCTATCCACAGTCACTGCTTTTCCAGACTGTGGTACTTGAGGAAACAGAATCTAGATCCTCCCATTCTATTCTATGTATCCTATCCCTTTCTTTTCATTCACTCTTTTTTTTCCAAGATGTGAAAAGCAAACATGAGTCATGACTCTTGTCCTCCATGTTCAGACCTGTCCAAATGGACACCATTTACAATTCAATGTCCCCTGTCATCTCCAGTTGCTAGTTATCTCCAGTTCCAGTATTGACTTTATTTCTCTTCAAGACTTTAGAGATGTGGGGCTCTGAAATATCTTGCCCAAACCTCTGTTTCCAAGGTTCCCCAGGATCCTTCCATCAAAACAAATATTGGAAACTGAGCAATCATCCCATTTTGTTACCATCATGTCCAAGAAACTCTGAAATAATTGTCTGTGATTCTAGTTTCTCATGTACCAGCATAAGACTCATTCCTTTTCCTTGTATAGTACGTTCCATGTCAAGACCTTGCTGGGTATTGAAGACTGCATTGTCCTCGGTTTGTGTAGTCACACAGAAAGGAAGGACATCTTTCCTCAGGGAGCTCAAAATCATTATTGTCAAGAAAAAGGTGTGATAAAAAGAAAGGTGAAGTGGAAAGGATGAGAGATTAAAATAAAGCCCCCTTGTGGCTAAAAGTCAAGAGGGGATGAATACAGAAGTCACAGTTGGGAATTATCTGTCAAGTATTGTGGCAGAAAAGGGGATCAAGAAGGGCTGGAGTGTTAAGATGGTAGGTTTTTTGTGGAGTTGTGCTGCTGAGTAGGAAGCTACTCACGTGAATGAGGAGATTCAACATGAGGTAAGTGGGCACTCGACTAAAGAAGAAAGGGTACTGTGATACAAATAAAGATGATACCTTACAGCAACCTCTGTGTGTATCTCATACTTGAGGATGAAAAGCAGATAAATTGGCAAACACAAGCTCCCTCCTGGGTGATGATGAAGCTATTGTTCAGCACTAGTCACAGACCTGGCCAAAGGTACTGCAGTCAACACATGCCTTTTCTTCAGCCCTTGAAACTGCTGGTGTTGCTCCCCTGATCAATTCCAGGTCTGCAGTAGGGTGATTTCTGCATACAATTCCTTATTTGCTGTTCCTTGCAGGTGGCCCACTGAAGAGCCGAAGCTTGATGAGAGATTCCTACACCCCTGATGTAATTCAGAAGGCAATCAGAGATCCCAAAAATTGGCATGGAAGGAGGATTTATGAGCTAGGTATGGCTTCTGCAGGAAAAGTACCTTGCTGAATTCCTTAGATGGGTGCTGCTTCTGCCAAGGACAATGAATGGGTTTGGGCAAAGTCACAAGAGGACTAAAAATTGGCATTTTAAGAAGAGAGGAGCTCTGCAGCTAGAATAATCCTTGGGGTATAATAGCGCTAGGAAGGAGGCTGTATCTGAACTATGATTTGCCTTCTTTACAGGGAAATGGTATGAGAAATATTTCCTAGATCTGAACGTGCAGAAAGCAATGAAGGACAAATACGGGGATAAAAAAGGCAAACCTTAAAAGATGAAGGTTGAAGACTGGAGTGCATTCAGCAAGTGATCTTTTTCCTCAGCCATCTAATAAACCTCCATGTAAAACCTGAACCCATTGCTTGCTAACTGTCAACAGCAGGTTTGTTGCTGATTCTCTCTTGCCCTCTCTATTAGAGTATCTCCAGGGAGAGTAATGCAAGATAAATCTGAATATAAATGCAAAAAAACCCAAAACACTTTGTTGGTCACTAGTACAGCAGGAATGATTGGTGTGTGAGGCACATACCTTTGCAGAGGGATGTGGTGGTGAGAGAAGCCCATACAGAAATTCATCTACTCAGCACCTAAGTTGGAGTAGGACTTGTGAGCGTTGTAAGAGGGTGATGGTGGAAGGAGTGCATGTGTGTGTGTGAGAAAACTCATGTTTGCCAGAAGATTTGTGATGCGCGGACAGCTGCCCCAGCAGTCCAGAGAGAAATACAGAGGGTGCACTGGGAACAAACCAAGGTTGCCCAAGGACCTGAGTGCTGTCTACCTCTCTCACTGAAGACTAGAAAGCTCCCGCACAGAAAAGCTTCAGATCTGTGTGTACAGGGCAGCTAGACACACCAGAAGAACCAGCTCCTTATTGATACTTCCAGGGTGAATTCAGGCTCTCTTGCCAGAAGGGCACCAAACCATGTCCACTTAATAACCTGGGCACGGCTCTGTGTGATTGGCACCCTACGTGGGGTAGGCAAGGAAGGTTTTCTGCACACCATTCTAATTCTGTTGTTATATCTGTCACATGGAGGATTTCAGGGAGCAGCAGTAATGTGTGAAAGCAAATGGAAATTCAGTTGAGGAGAGGAGGCATCAGTGCATTCACTAAAGCCCGCACTATTGGCAGGCCAAGCAAATGAAAAACCAAACAACAGTTTATCCCATCTAAAGAGAATAGGAAAGCTGCAAGAAGCTTCTCCAATCTGCAAATCACCCCATAATGTGCACGGACTCTTACTGAAGCTCTTATAAGCCTTACTTGTCTCTGACAGCCCTTTCCCTAATTCAAAGATAAATGTCTCTCAGAGAGAAACGTGTCCACCATACACTCTGTACAATCTGAAATTCAAGAGTGTATTTGGACAGTAAGCAAGGACCACCCAAGGGCTTGAATGATACAGGACATGCAGGGTCTTTAGAGCTTCCTGATGTGTTTTTCTCACAAGTTTAATGGTCCTTATTGCAGGATTCTGCCTCCCAGCTCCAAAGTGTAGCAGTTTGGTGTGGCAATCACGAAGTACATTTCTGGGAATAGCAGTGCCCTGATCTTTCCCATCTGGTCCTAAGCTTTTCCCACTTTAAAAGATTGATGCTTTGCTCCCTGATATGAACTGTTTTGGGATAGAATTAGGATTGTTATTTCACCATTGGCTGGTGATTAGATAACAATATGCTGACTTTGTTAAAGTAGTGAAGTAGGTTAAAATTTAACTAATATAATAATCAAGCAATAATCATTTTCCACCGCCAATAATTAACCATTTGGACTTCTGATATTTCCAGGCACATGTCCAAGTCTTTGAAATTAAGGAAACTGGCCAAACGGCAGCTTGTAGAAACCTCCCTATGGGTTTGCTTTGTACATCAGTACTAACTGGCTCCTGCCTGAGCACACGCCACACTAGCTCCGGCTGAAAAAGCGCAGCTCTGTAGGAACAGCCTGTTCTCTGTGTTGCAGCCAACTCTGATGGCCAATATAACTCCAGGTACATAATAAACGCTGTCTTCTGAGACCACAGCAGGTCCTAATCCAGAAAACATGGAGCTGAGCAGAAATCTGCTGACGTTGTTTGGCATACTGGAAGCAGGCAGTTCAGGGCACAAGCAGCTAATACACAACACATAATGTGGGCTGAATCTGCACGTAGAATTACAGATCTGTTTCTACTAGACATTAAAAATGCCTATTAGCCATTAGAAATAGACACTAGGGCAGGCAGACTGCAGGATTATGGTACAGCTTGAGGTAAATATCCTTTTGCTATCTGTGAAGGGCTCATAAAGAGACTGGATCAGAAGGGAAGTGGACTGAAATGTCCTGTTGGTGCACCACTGTGCACAAACTGTGCATTTCCTCTTGCAGTGGAATGAAGTCACTTGGTGTGCTTTTTACAAATTACAATATTTTATAAGCACTTAAATAGTATAAAATACTTGGCATTGTATATTCAAATGGTGACAGCTGTTTGATGATAAACATAGATGTGGCAATCCCCCTTCATCTTCTTTTCTTTACCAACTGTTACAGATCAGCCAGGGACAAACACTTTTAGGGAGGTGACACACTGAAAGCTGCAGAGATAGTTGAGATGATAGCTTTCAGTGAGGCAGCACAGCCTCTGGGAACAATCAATAACTGAAGTCTCTGAGTGCTGATCAGACAAATTTAGCCAGAACCTTCGTCTGGACCATTGCCCTGTGTGCACTCTGTGTTGACTAGAGTGCTTTAGCTACCTGAACATGTGTAGTCAAAACCAGCTTTGGAATCTCCAAGTATCATGCCATATGAAGTTAGACAAGAATAGAGCCAAAATAAGTGCTCACTGCAGCTGAAATCTCTCTTCTATCCGTTCTTCTGCTCTCATTCCTTCTTGTTTGCTTTGTGCTGGTGTTGACACTTCCCTACGCATCCTCTGAACTGAGTCAACTTGATAAACCACCAGAAAATCAATACAGAAGAAAAAAAAACAAAGCAAAACAAAAACACAAACAAAGTTAATAGGTTAACAAATTAAATTTTCTAAGCAAAGGACCTTGTTGCAGACAAAGAGATATAGATGTTGGGGAAAGGGAGTAGAAAGACAGTGGAGGGGGAAATGGCCTTTCTCTGCTTTTTTAATGCAGTGGGAAATTAATTTGCCTCCACTATTTTGTCTCACTGGACTCAGTGCTTTGCAGCACAGGTAGCCTGTATTTAAGTGATTTTACACGGTCTGGTCATTGGGTGGCAGCTCTGAGCCAATGTTCTTATCTAACAGGGCAGAACTTGGGGAAAAAAGTGAGATTTTTCTCTGGTTTAGCTAAGCCATTCACCAAAATTGCTTTTTAAGAACTGTTTTGGTCATCTATAAACAGTCAATGCTCTTGAAATAAAGATAATTATACTATAAAGATTTGAAACAGAAGGGATCCATTGCATCTAAGCTTCTGCAGCACTCTCCTCATTACTTTTTCTTGCAGTAATGGCTATTTCCGAGTTCAGGCTTATGCATACCTGCAGTCGAGGCACAGACTATTTTGCAGGATATCACTTTTAATAAGGATTTCCTGTTCTCCAAACAATATTTTTTTCTTTTCATTTAACCCTCTAACCTCTGCCTATCTCACGTTATCCTGAACAATTCCAACCTTTGGTATCTCCACTGTGTATGATTTTGAATAGCTCATATAAAGAGATGGTGACAACTGTAAGAACAGAAGACAGTCAATGCAAAAAACTCTTATCAGAGTTTTCAGCCTGCTATTCAATTCAATCCTTTGAGCTTGCACAGAAGTAAAACTTAAATTCAGAGCTACATCTATCCTGAGGTAAGCCCAGTATTCCTAAAAGAATGGAGTACTTACTGCTGATCCTGCCTATAATGGGATAAAAGAGAAATCCAGCACTGCTTTAAGTGTCAAGAGATCACAACAAAAAGGGAATGGGTGGACTTCAATGGATTTCACTCTTGGGCACTGGCTTTAAAATACAATTGTGTCTTATGTTTGAAGGTATTCAAAACAGTTATTCATCCAGAGAGAATGGTGATTTGAGGGTTAGGAATTACCAGTGTAGTTCCCCTTGATATTGGTAGAGCAAAGGAGCCATGCAGCAAGAAAGTTAAAAAAAAAACCCCAAACTCAAATAGTGCGTTCCTCATGGTTCGCTTTGGGTTTTGTTTCCTCTCTGACAGAGCCAAGACTTCATGGACTGAAGCTGCCAAGAGCAGTGACCTGGTAGGAGAGGTGGGATCACTGCACTTGGAAACAACATCTCCTTACGGATGGAGAATGGGCTCTCTCAGCTCTGGGCAAAACAGGGGCGAGAGCTACATTACCAAGAAGCTTTCAGGTTCTATTTCTGATTAGTAAACAGGCCTACCGATTTTTATGCTGAGTTGCTATTTTACCCCTTTTAATAACATTCTTTTTTGTTTAAACCCTTGGATTCATTGCTCCTGAGCAGGAAAACTGATTATCCAAGCTCATTATGTGCCCAAGCAAAATCATTTTCTTTTCCTATAACCTGAGAGCCTTGAACTGAAATTGATTAACTATTTTTAGAAAGAAGCCCTAGCTAAATCTGGCTTCTTCCCCTGCCAATCTCACCTATCAGGGGAGTGCAAAACAAGCCTATCTAAATGGAGGTGCATGGAAATTATGACCTGTCCCTTTTACCAAATACATTAATATAACTAAGAAAGAGGTAGGTTTATTTGAGATCTTTCACCATGTTGGATTACAATCAGGAGAGGAGAGGTAGCATTTGTGGAAAGAAAATGTGATTATGATGGTGTCATTTTTCAAATTTTCAGATTGGTTGTCTAAGACACCTACAACTCCAGAAGGCTTTTCTGAATCTCAAAGCTGGCTACTTTCCTTTTCCAACAGCTTTCTTAGGGCTCTGAAGACCTGAAAGATCTCACTATTCTGTGCATTTTCTTCCTTGTCCCTGATGGACCCACCATCATGTGCAGGCTCTCTGATCATTTTAATGCATTTACAAAACTTATTTACTTGGTGTGATGGGTTGACCATGGCTGGCCTCCGGATGCCATATATTCTCACCCCTCCCTCCCAGTTGTGCAGCAGTTTTTACCCTTTCTTAGACGTGTTGTCAGAGAGGTGCTACTAAGCCACTCTGCCACTTGCCCTCCTCAACTGGACAGAGGGAGAGGGAAACTGTTACAGTGCTGCCAGAATTAAATATGACTACACAGATCTCCAATACAGGTTCTTCAGGAAAAAAAATACTCCTTTTCAAAAAATATGTGAGGATATTTTTGTGGGTTCTGAGTGTCTGTGGGGGCTTGAAGGGCCTCCAAACACATCCAGGTGCAACTCAGGAGAAGAGGTTGGTGCTTGACCTC